CCCTCTCTTTTGAAAGGCTTTACCAGCCCCATGAATTTATAAAATGCTATGGAAGTGAGGATGAAAATAAAACTACGGTACCTGGAGCACAAGTGCATCATTGGTCTGGAATCAGAATTCCCTAACTCTCTCTCTCTTTAGGTAAATCCTCCGTACACATCAACCCTGTCTACGTTCCCGCGGAATATTCTCTTTTCGTCAACTCCATCAGGCAAACAACATCACAGCCACGAAAAGGCGATGAGTGGGACTTCCCTGGCAGTGGCTTTATACACATAACCATATGAGAATATTCAAAGAGGGAGGACAGTGGACTAACCCCAACATCAACTACACCAGTGCATTTGTGGGTTCGATTTCTGCCAATAAATTTCACTACGGATATTAGCGATTGTCACATGTGACAGTTCAAATCACTCTAATATGAAATTATTATGCAAAAGCCTTTCATTTTATACATATTAATTACTATTTACCAATGGTATTACATAACTTTACAACATTAATGCTAGAAAATATTCTGATAGGATAGATATTACTGAGCAACCAACAGAGTGGTTATTATCCGCTTGTCTGTAATATCTAATTATCTTTAGATTTCTCTAAGAAAAAATTAGTTTATTCTACTAGGCTAATAGTGGTCATGATCTTTGACAAGATCTCATTGAGAGATTAAGTGAATAAATTAGTCTCTTGATAAGTCGGCTCAACTCGGCTACATAGTATCAAACGTTCAGCATTCTATAATATTCATTTGAATAAATGACAATTTTCGTTAATCACAACATATTCTGATTAACAATATTGGCCTAGATGTTATTTTCTTTCATTTCATAGATGATAATAAGAGACTAACTGATCAAAGTAGCGTAGATAACATCCTTATATTGTAAAATCTACCAAAACAGAGAAATATAGAATGCTTCCTATAATTAAAATTGGTTCAGCAAATCAGAACTAACCATTCTCTACTAGAATCATAATAGATTCATTTCTTTAAGAGAAAAATGATCCAATTTAAAAGTAGAATACAGAAATATATAATAATAATAACAAGGGTGACACGTACCAGGTTTACTGAAGAGACAAATTGTGCAATTGTACGATGTCGACCAGGTTTTCTATACAGACCAGGTAAATTAAGTCCATGTATCTCTAAGGCTATGACAATAGCTTGTAACAGGACTGGAACGCACTAAAAAATATATGAAGAAAAAACAAAGAATGTTGATTACGTTTTCTTGGCATTTCATTACTTGATAATACGTGGCATTATTCCTTGAAGTCACTAACTTCTAGTCTGAGCCATGTTGGGAGATGAAGACTACTTGGTTGTGGTACGCGTGATTATCGTAACCAATGGTTGGGAAATCTGGGTGACATGGCTCAGAATCGATCACAATGGTGTAATCGTATAGACTAATTGTCTTCCCTTAAACAGTGAGATTAAAATCGCTTTATATATTTCTACGAACTAATTCTTTCTTCCTCTACTATATCCTTATACTACTTCTATGCAATTGGTGTTCATCCTGTTGTGCTAATGAGGTGTGGCAACTTGGACCGGCGGATATATATGCCTAGTCCTACGTCGTAGCTGACTGACTGACTGATAATACTTACTATGATATAAAGGAACAAATGTTTTTAAAAACACTAAATTTTATTTAAAAAAGCAGTGCAATATATCTATTATTAAAGTTGGAATACTGGAATTGTTGACTTTTGTTTGTTTGTATTGAATTTCCCATCGACTGATGGTGCACATAAATGGACTTTCGTTGAAAATATTATTGACTGGTAAGTATACATGAATCTTGATTGAATCCGAAAACGATGGAGAGGACATATGAATAAGAATTGAAAATGCTATTTATTATTATCAAAGAATTTTTGTAAACTTCGTCTGTTAAAAATAATTCTCCTTCTCCAATACTTTACGAAGATTATATGTCTATAGCTCTTACTAGGGAAGTTCTACTCAATGTCATTATGTAGAAGTTATGTTTTTAAGAAAATGAAAGAACAAATAACGAACTGCGGCGCCTAAGCAAAACTGGTGGATAGAAAGGATCCGTCCAAAGGAGTTAGGAGACTCATATTCTAAACCAATGAAACAAATGAGATACAAGACAATGAAGGAACAATTGATAAGGTGAATCTATTTTATTCACTGTTCATCATTATGAGATTGTATCGCCAACCGCTGTCCCACTAACTTTTGGATCCGACCTTTCGATGAAACGTTGCAAGAGCAGCTATACCGAGGAACACTATCTATTTCAGTTTATGCGACCAGGTGATATACAACCATACGCACAAACGTAATACTAATGATAACTAATAAAAAAAACTTACTGGATAATCAGGACTTTCTAATTGAGATTCTAATGAAGCACCGAATACAGGACCAGGACTATCTAAATCGGTCATATTAGGAGGATCAACAACTAAGATAGAAAGAAAAAAAACATTCACAAGAGAATGATAATAGTAATAATGAAGTAAACAGTTTTTAAAAAAAAAACATTTTCATTCATAGAAACAAGTGTGGGAAAAAAACGACAGATCACTTAAAATCATGAGGTTGTTTCTAAGTGAAAAACAAATACAATTAGAATAATATCATGCTGTGATATAATGATATACATCAAGATATAAATAACTTGTATAATTAAGATTAAATAGAAATTTTCTTTCCAAATGTAATAACCATGAACATTTCCCACATGACAAGAAAGTCGAAGAAGAAGAAGAAAAGTAAAGATCGACAATTATGGTGAATAATAGTGAAGAAAAAAGTCTTTTTTCACGGTAATTCTCATCAACAATGTAATTAGTTAAAGAACTAAGAATTAAGATGTATGTTGGTATTCAAATGTCTAGAAAGTTCTACTGTATTGGGCGGAAACATGGAAAGCTACGAAAGCCATCATCCAGAAGATACAAGTGTTTATTAACAGTTGTCTACGCAAAATACTTCGGATCCGTTGGCCGGACACTATTAGCAACAACCTACTGTGGGAGAGAACAAACCAGATCCCAGTGGAGGAAGAAATCAGGAAGCGCTGGGAGTGGATAGGACACACATTGAGGAAAGCACCCAACTGCGTCACAAGACAAGCCCTCACATGGAATCCTCAAGGCCAAAGGAAAAGAGGAAGACCAAAGAGCACATTACGCCGAGAAATGGAAATAGACATGAGAAAAATGAACAAGAATTGGATGGAACTAGAAAAGAAGGCCCATGATAGAGTGGGTTGGAGAATGCTGGTCGGCGGCCTATGCTCTATTGGGAGTAACAGTTGTAAGTAAGTAATGTTGGTATTCATATTTAGCTATTAATCGACTTTAATGTAAACTTGTAATTGAGCAACAATATCGAGTCAACTTGTTCAAGATGAATAGATAACAACATAACAACATCAATTACGGTTACAAATAATAATAACAGGGAATTGGAGGCTCAGAATAACACCTTCATATTTATTGAACAAGTTACTGGTTAGTGCTTGATAGTTCAGTAGATGATATATCTGTGCTTAAAGCGTAAAGTGTTGAGTATGAGTCTTAATGTAAACACTTACATTAATACAAGTACACTCAGTTGACGAAACCCGTTAGGAACTTGTTCCCACTATTAGTCACATATTAAATATACTGAAACTATTTTGTTGAACTAGTCTGAGACTAATATACACATACGGTAACAGATTGGATATACGAATCCAAAAAGTTAAAGTTCAACATAACCATACAACCACTGAACCGAAAATCCATGTACTCAAATTTGATAAACCTGTCATATACAAACCAACCTTAAACCAATAACAACGGGAAGTTACATTCGTCCTCATCACATAGCCGATTTAATGGTTTGAAACTTGAAACCAAAAGCATTATCAGTATAGAGTTGTAGAGATTGATGACTTTTGATTGAGATCATGAATCGATCAATGTTATGCTAGCATTGAAAACCTGGAAGCACTGGATGGCTATTTCACCCTAATATTGGACATCTTAGCAGTGCACATCCACGATCCCACACGTGGGATTCGGACTCAGAACTCTTGGTTTCGCGCGCGAACGCTTAACCTTTAGACCACTGAACCGGCATTCAATGACCTTCCTGTGCCTCCAGGTTCTCAATGGTAGCCTACCATTGGTCGATTTATGATCCCAATCAATTAACAATTGTTAAACGTTAATTAATTTTTCAACTTTTGTTCCATTCTCCATCATATTGGCTTGATTGTATGTGAAGTGTGATACCTAACTTGGGGTGTATCGTAGTCTGATAAGTTATGTATATAAACCTATGAGTGCGTGAAAAATATATAATAAGAGCTTATCTACTACTGGAGAGAGAGAAAAAAACTGTGTTCCAAACCAATAGAAGTGGAGTTATCTCAGCAGGGTGTCATTAGTGAAAAATTAGTACGTTAGACCATATACAAAGTAGTATACTTAGAATAGAGAATTTTGAATCTGGAATCGTGATTGGTGAATCTTGCTCTGGTAATATATCGACTAAGCTTCTATTCAATCACGCGTGGATAAGTAGTAGTAGTAGGGAACTTATGATATTGATAAAATAGGTTATCAACTAGTCACACACACACACACACTACAAGTTTTACAATCACAGAAAAACTACGAATTATTAATCCTGCCAAGAAAAAAAATGCCTTCTGTTCAGCGATAACAACAAAATGAGATATAAAGAGACAAAAAAATCAGTTACACATTCATCGTTGAAACAAGTCACACACAGATACACGTATGAAGAAAAAAGGTAGTGTATGGTCTAGTATCATAACTTATTTGTTATTTTCCATACACAAAAAAAGTATATCTATATAAACAGAACACATGTGTACTGAAAGAAAAAAACTGTATCCATTGGAACTAATAAATATTGATTAAACACTGGATCAGTCTTTGATCGGAATAGGTATCATCATTCAGTATCAATGCTACAATATTTTCTTCTTTTTTTTGAAAGTTGGACATGATAGTGGCAAATTTAGTGGTAGATAATGAGGAAAACTACAAATACAAAATAATTTAGCTTATCAAGTTGTATAATTACAGAATTATTATTTCTAAGGCAATAAAATAAACATGATTAACGAACTATTGAACAATGTCGAATGGAATAGTGACATAAAAAGAGTGGTTAGTTAATTTCAATTAATTACAAGCAAAATGTGTTATGCATTTATGAGGGTTAGTAAAAATTAATGCAGTAAAATACAGTCAGTCAAATGCATTGTAAATCAGTCCAAGATTTGAAACGTCCCATTTGTACAGTGAGAAGAAATTATTGGGGTAAATTCCGGGGTAACAGAGGTAGGAACAGTATGAATGAAAATAGAAAAGATTAAGCATCGAAGATACTATTCGTGAAGAAGATATGGGATCTGAAAGAATACGCTACCGTTAGTGTGAACGATTTTGACCCATGTCATCCCAAGTCCTTAACTATTGACTATGACTAGGTAGTCTAAGGTAAAAGAAAACGTTTTTAGGTAAATAGTCAGTTGTAATCAATGAAGAACTTGAGATAAAGATGTGTCATTCTAACTACGTCATCCAACCACGAAATATCATACACCTAATGAATGGCAAAGGATTTGAAACACATGTAGGGTTAATAACGTTAGTAAGACAGACAAATGTTGAGAACATATTTTGAAAAGGTATATATGAACGAACACTACAACTCAAGGATTTAGAAGACGATTAGGATTGGATGCATCTACGACTTTGTGACAGATTACAAGCCAAGTCACTCAGCGCTGTAAACCAGCCAGTAGTTTGTAGCTATCAACATTGTACTAAAACAAAAATTCAAGAACTTGGAAAAATGATGCAACGCTTTGATTTGGTAGTTCATTTTTTAAACTCACTTTTACACCAGTTAAAATATCACTCATGTACACTAACGGTTTGGAGTCAGGGTTTCCAAACTCCCCTAGGTGGATCCTCCGTCATACCTATCAACTCGGTTTAGGCCCCGACCAGATATTCGCTTTTCGTCCTCTTAATTTCATACACAATACTCGTGGTGTGAGAAGCCAGTGAGTAGAACTTCCTTGAGAGTGTCTGTATACACATGGTCATATGAAAGCATTTTGAGAGGGGAAGCTAACTCTCTCCACAGACTAATAAATTCAATTTTTTTGTATTGCTATAATTTTTAACGGATAAATCATGAAAACAGTCTATTGTATTTCTGAATAACAAATATAAATGTTTTATGATTAACTCAGTGTCGATCACTGACTCGCACACGCTCTCAATAATGACCAACCATAATGTGCCTAAAATTCAGCAACGATCAAATAGTAGATAGGAAGTATTAGTATGACCACAATAACGGCGACGATTAGAAAGAAACAAATTCTTCATAGTTAAACATAGCCATAAATGTAAACTATCTAAATTTAACAATCTCTACAAACCTGCTCCCGTCCCCCTCGACATACTAAAAATAATTCTATGCTTACTGGTGACCTTTTATTTCTAGATGTAATTCCAGGAGTTCTAGTAAGAGGGTGCGACTAGCCAAGTCCAACCATGTTGGGTATGAGGAAGTTATTTTGTCTTAGACAATGCAACAGAAGGTGGTTGTGTGATATCGCGAATTAAGTGAAATTAGATATGTACACCATTGCATGGTTTAGAGGCTTAGTATTTAGATGAGATATCTGGGTTCGATTCCCGTTTGTGTGGCCGTACATGTGCACTGATGAAAAATTCAATACTAGAATGAAACAGCTATGCAGTGTTTCCTGGTTTTCAGTAGTGATCTAACTACAGTCAGTACGTCATACAAACTGGGAAGAAAAGCAAGATGGCAAGTTTAGTAAAATTATTGTAAATAAAGTCACCGTTCTTATATATGTGTACATAAAAACGGGTATATATGTACACACACACACACACACTGTATATCTACATACATATGTATACATACCTGTCATTAGTGAGCTGAATTTATGTTCATTATTTGGAGATTCCGAATGTGAAACATCCACGGTAGAAGATATATCCCAATTGTTATTACTGTTTACATTATGATAATTTACACTGCTGGTGGTGGTACTTCCACAGCTACCACTAAAATAACCAGTGGTAGAGGTGACAACGTTGTTCATTGTATTGGTTGGATTATTTGCAGTTGAGAAATTAATTGAACCAACTGAGGGACCATTAGTACTAATACTATTACTGGTACTACTGGCATTATTATTGCTATTAATATTATTATTATTTACACCAACAGGACGTTGAAGCCATTGTTTGAATCCGCGTAGTATTTTATTTGTACGAATTAAACTAGTTGAATGTGATTTATCGTCAACGCTGTTGTTAATATTACTAGGAGTTACATCAGACGTTGTCTGATTATTACTGTTATTATTATTGGAGATACCGTTTATTATTGTCTCAGTGTTGTCCGATCGAATACCATCTACAGATAAGAAAAGTCGAGAATTATTTAAAACTTTTATTCGAATAAATGTAAAAGAATATCAGTATAAATGAGAAATTGATCCTACTGGGCACTTTTTGAAAATGCCAAAGTAAAAAGAAATATAAGGCCACTATTACAAAAAATTCTTTTAAACTCTATCAATGCACGATTGTGTTTAGTACCCCCAAATGACCCAGTACGTTCGAGAGTGGAAAGAGTCAGCTCTTCATCTGAAATGCTTCCACATGAACACATGTATACAGATACTGTCAAGGAAGTCCTACTCACTGACTTCTCACACCACAAGTGTTGTTTACGAAATTAAGAGGAAGAAAATCGAATGTCCGGTAGGGAATTAATCCGAGTTCATAGGTATGATGGGGGATCCACATAAGGGAGTTGGAAAACCCTGATTTCAAGCCAATAGGGTACATGGCCTCAATGATCCTGAGGGAACGAATGGTGTTTGAACATATTGTTGGTGACTGGCTACTATTGGACTACATCTCCTACCGTTGTTCTAATGACTCGTGGGTTAGAACTCTACCTCTAAGTGAAAGCCTCTGTGAGTGCCCCTGTAAGAAAACCATCCGGTTTAGTTTGGGCAACCGCACAATATTCCAGCTCTCACAACAATCGAATGATTTGTGTGGCGCACATATATTTGGTGCCTCATTGTATCAATGTTGATATGTTTACATAAATGTATAGAATAAAGAAGATGGAAATAAAGAGAACAGGAAAGTCAGTCAGTCAGTAACAACGTAGAACTTCGTACGTAAGTACATCAGTTCGAGTTGCCATACCACATTACCACAGAGATGCAGTTGTCGACTCAAATTCCGTAGTGGTAGAGGTAGTAAGAGTATAAGCAGTAATCGGAAACATTAGGGTTTGGAGATGTTATTTAAAGAGTATAATCCAGTGAAATAAATTTGGAAAGAGAAAAACGAGACAAGGAGGATTCAGGAGATTAGAATTTGAGAGAACACAAAGAGTGGATGCACCTGCGCCATTGCAAACGATTTTGAGCCATGTCATTCAGGGTCTCTAATCATCGGTTGCTATCACCTCGTGGTCCCTAACCAGGTAGTCTACACCTACCCACATGGCTTAGTCCACTTGTCCGTAACTTCATGGATTTGTGCCATGTTTTGGTCTGGCCTCCCCTAGCTTTCTTCCAACCTACTCCTATACCACTGAACATCGCACGTCGAGGCAGTCGGTCGTTGGGCATACGTAACACGTGTCCCAGCCATCTCAACTAATGAAGTTTCACTACTTCATCAATTGACTTGCCACCCTTACCTAGTACCCGTTTCCTAACAACTGCATTACTTACTCGATGGTCCCAGGATACGAGCAATGTTTCGAAGACACCTATGATCAAATACTAGTAACCTACGAATATCCTCTACTCTTACTGGCCATGTTTCACTGCCATAAATTAGGATGGAACGAACTGCTGCTCAGTAAACACGTTCTTTGGTTGATAGACGGATATCTCACCTACGCCATAGATGACGCAAGTTGGTAAAAGCAAGCTAGTCGAGCCTTCCGTATCCGTGCTGAGATTCCGTCACATACAAGACCACAATGGCTGATGAAACTTCCAAGATAAGTGAAGCGGTCGACACGCTCAACTACTTCACTCCCTATCATTGGTTCGGGTGTCAATGCAACCCAATACTGAAGCAACATTTTGATTTCGAGAATGGGGAGAATCACATCTCGAACATGCTTGCATTGTTGCTTAGAGTGGTCAGAAGACTCTGCATTTTGTCACGAACAGGAAAGAAAACGAAGGGCAATTAGAATAACAACAGGATTGAAATAATGATGAAGTATGTAAAGGACAACTCAAGGAAGATATACAAGTGATGTGTTTAATATATGATTTTTATATTTTTCAAAGGCACAGTGTGGCTTACAATACCTGAGTTTTTGTTCATTATAGTCTTACGAAATGGTGAGTTGACCATCTACTATTTTTGTAACCAAATCACAAACTAATATCTGTTTTCACAACAACAACAACAACAACAAATAGGAACAAACTTAGATTCAATAATAAAATTACCAACCTAAATCAATTTTCTCTCGAGTTCGTGTTCGAAATTTATTAGCAACATCAGATTTATTACATTTTATTGAATTCACATCTTCACCATCAGCCATAGCATTTGAATAATCTGAATCAGTCGATGACTGATGAATAACATAACGTCGATGTAGACGTCTTTTATCTTTCATTAAACAATATGGTCCATAGGTATTGGTGATGAAAGGGCTACAAGTAGTTATAAAATTTGTAATACCTGGTTGAATAAAAACATCTCTATGCATTGAATTATCAAAATCGTCAGGGTTATTGTTACCGGTGTAATCATTATCCATATCGTCATCATCGTTGTTTGCTAGAGGAGGTACACGATATTGATTACCTTTTACTGTAAAATCATGAGACAAACTTTGATTTAATTTTGTTGGGATTTCAGATAAGATCGATGATAATTTGAGGAGAAATAATTCATATGGATTAGATGAGGATTTTTTACGATACGTTGTCAATGTAGCTTGTAGAAAAAGAAAGAACAGATAACATTCAGATTATTAAATAATCAGTAGTATAAGGAGATCAGTATGTGGAAATTATTGAATTTTCATAGTTTACATATTATAGATTGATCCTAGATAATCTGTTAAACACTTCAATAGTGTGTACAGAAGATAAACCATGTGAGATTCAATCTCGAAACTTTGTGTTACAAGAAATTCTTTAAGCAGGTAAGTTGGCTGAGATACTAGCAAGAACCTCAGTTGATAAAGGTCTTTTGATGAACAAAGATAAGTCATTTGACTAATATTATAGTATCTAAAGAATAAGCATGCAAAATCACTCGGTATCCAGAAGGAGGTAGAGAGAACCAAGTCGCTTTGATGCATTGTTGTAGACGTAAAAAGCTACTTCAAGAATAGTCTGAGTCGACTCTTGAAATGAATATAGGGAGTGAAGTAGTTAAGTGAGAGAATGACGATCATCAGTCACTCTCTATACTACTCAATGACATGCTCTGTGGAAATAAATTTCATATTTGGCCTGTGAGTATTTAACCATAAATGTCTACCAGGTATCGCACAGGCATTGTACAGCAACAAAGGGGGAAATAGTAAGACAAGAATTATGGCACTAGACAAAGATGAAAGGTCGGTAACTATTTTTGCGAATTATCACCAACTGATATAAAGGAAGGAAGATAACTGTAGGCGCCCACATCAAGGCATGGCATCACTTCATGAAGTCGCTGACTTTCGTCTTGGTAAGTGCATATTATCTTGTTGAGGTCTACATAATAAAATAGACCAGTGATTAAAGACAACAAAACACGATTCATAATCGATTACAACGGTACATATAAATTCATTGTTTATCATACTCCAAGATCTAGTTTCACTATTCCTTTATATATACATTTTCATTCACTCGTCTCGAAAAACATCCTCAATATTTAATCTTTCTACATTATTTCAACTCTTTTGTCACTGACCATATTTTTATTTATTCATTGTTCAAACATATCATCATTAGTAAAAGGGGCACCAAACAGATATGCACCACACACGTCATTCGATTTGTGCGAGGGTTAGGGTACTAGCCGGGTGCCCAGACCGAAGCAGGTAGTTTTCTTAGGGGGTCACACCCGGAGCCTTTGGCTTAAAGGTCTGATCCACAAGACAGTGGAGCAACGTAAGGAGATGCAGTCCCATAATAGCCAGTGTGCAGCAAACAGGTTCATACACTATTTGTTCCCTCAGGATACTGGAGCCCATGTGCACCACTGATTTTGAATCAGGGTTTTCCAACTCCCCTAGATAGATCCTTTGTATCCATCCACTGATTATATTATTTTTATCTTGCCGAGTTAGTGTTATATAACAACTTCGGCTACTACACATATTTATTCTCAATCTTACAAGCATTTGAATTATCAAATAGAAAAAGAAAATTATTGAAAAATTAATACATGAACAACTTACATGCATTACGATGACCTAACTGTTCAACAACACAATCATAGTCACGTCCACCAGAAAGCTGACAAAGAAAAAAAAGACGGAGATATGCATCTTGATAAATTTTCCTATTTCAAATGTCTGAGAACTTCCATGTACAAGAACAAAACGACCGTCTAATGTTTCCAAAGTTGTCAACAATGGTCTAACTTCAATTAGATCAAAAAATTGACTAAATAAAGCGTGTACTTGTAACAGGATTGTTCTTATATATATAAAGATAGGTGATAACGCTCAATGGCAGATAATTGAATTGAACTAACATCATTCAAGATTGACAACCGTGAATTTTATCAGAATGGGTTATGTGGAGAGTTTTGGAAATTTCACAAGTTGAAATCATGAGTCAATTGAAGCTAGACCACCATGGGAAACCTGGAAGCACTGGACGGCCGTTTCGTCCTAGTATGGGACTCCTCAGCAGTGCGCATCCACGACCCCGCACCCAGCGGGATTCGAACCCAGAATCCACTGTACATTAACACAGTTGGGTGCCGGCTCAGTGGTCTAGTGGTTAAGTGCTCGCGCGCGAAGCCAGCAGGTCCTGAGTTCGAATCCCTCTGGGTGCAGGGTCGTGGATGCGAACCGTGAATTTATCAATAAATTACTATTTTCAATTAAAAATGTTCATGATAAGTGATTTTTAAAATTATCGGTAGATAAACATCATTATATCCTTACTACGCCTGAGAACTGAATTTGTACGATAGTGTCACATAGAGTTTTTAGTTTACTAATTGATTGGCAACTGTTTACTGGTTATTATCTTTAAACCATAATGATATAATTCAATATTGGCTGTTACGTTTGAAAAGATTACGATCTCATCTAAAACTGGCGAACGGCTCGAAAGTTATCAACACAGCAACAGGACAAGCCTATAGCGACTCACGTGCTAATGGGTTTATTTTCATTTAACCCAGTTAAGCCCTTTTTGTTAACTTATTTAGTGGACAAAGTCATCCATGATATAACAACTTGTTATACTATCTTTATTATTATGCTTGTATGAAATACATATGCTTGAACATTGTTTAGCGCCTACGCATGTATTCATTCTGCTAGCTTCATTATTAACTGCTTAATCTATTCGCTGACTCATCCATTTTCCTATACATATATATATGTGTACATTTGCACCCATTTACTATAACTACAACAACTACTACTACTACAACTACTTGCTACTGCTACGATCGTAGTTCGCTTGCTCATTCATTTTGCCTCTCTGCTGTCTGGTCCGAATTATCTACTAAATAAACTGTAGTAGCTGCTTCTTTTTGCCTTCTGATTTCAAACATCGTTGAAGATTATACGATAACGGTTCGAGGGTGATTAATTATAGAAGCACAGCCACTACAAGCCAAGCTATTCCACTACGCCCCAGTATTGGTAGCTAGAGGAAAATCACCAGATTCAACCGAGGGAAATCTATATTCCACAAGTAGTCGGAAGCACAAACGGACAACCATACAACTCATGCGTATATATACAGTGCAAAAACGTGTACCCAAAGAGGAAATAAACTAATGACATTTAAGGTCCTTCTAAGTGGGAAATACAAATTGAAGGTAAATGTGGGCGCTTTTGGAGTGAGGATGAGAAAGTTATTTTTTTATGATAAAATTACAAAAATGTGACGTTTATCAGGTGATTTCTGGGGATCTAGTATCCCCAACACTAGATACAGATTCATGTACTTGGCTTTGAGATAAACAATAAATGTGGAGGTTAGTGATACGATCTGACTGCCTAGATAGAGGCAGGCGGAACAGCGTTCAACCTTGTAACTTAGTGGCTAAAAGTCGAATGCATTAATCAAGAAGCCATCATTCCATTGTTATGATCAAGATCATGTGCCCCATAATCAATCGATTAGGTTAGCAGATTTAGGTGTAAGTAGAAGTTTTATCAGCACTTTTTGTAAATGGAGTTTCCGAAATCATATGAAAAACAGATACACAATTAAATGAGTATCATTAATTAATGTTACGTAAGACTATCATCAAATAGTGTAATGACTGACTAGTATTTCAAACTGTCACGAATTTGTATAAAACCACTCAACTTGCTTCACAAATCCTTTGCTCTGGTTAGGGTTAGTAATACTGATAAGTTGTCCAAGATCATGCTGTGATCTAAATAATGAAACTCAAGAACCACCACTAACCCCTCATCGTAATGATCATCGTGTGCTCACTAGTGACTAATTTTGAAAAGAGTAATGCATAGTTTTAATGAGAAGCCGTAATAAGGGCAGTTAAAGCAGGTCGGATGGGATGCAGTTACTCGAAAATGGAACTGGATAATGGTTACGCAAGGTGATGAAATGATTAAGGTTACAAATGTAAACCCATTTCGTTTGAATGTTAAGCTCTGGCCATATCAAACGGGGTCATTAATGCGCACTGCTGAGAAGTCCCATACTAGGAGGAAATAGTCGTCTAGTGTTTCCTGGTTCTCAATTGATATATCACTAGAAACAATCTGTGGTGTAAACAATGAAACTCTATATCTAATCTCATTGGTCATTATTCATATTCAATTGAGATTTTTTAAACGAAATAGTACAGCATCTCAACGGGAGGTTTACACAAGATGATACAAATTGAAACCCAAATTAGTGAAATGTGAAGGTCAACATATATGATAAAAAAACAACAAAATTACCTGACACATTTTTAAACAAGTCATTGCTGCATTCTCATCTGGAAATACGAATAATAATTCGACACCAGCTGTCAAATGAGCGAAACGAAAACAACGAAACTTCGACCGACAACTAACTTCATCATTCATATTTACATTATTATTATTAGTAGTAGTAGTAGTATTACTTTGGAAATCTACTGTATTCGACTTATAACAATCATTGAGATCTGATAAAATTTGTTGAGATAGACCAGAAACATGAGGATCCATCCAATCAGGATTAATTCCACTAGTATTATTGTTATTAATACCACTGGTTATTCGTGAAGTTAATGTTTGAGTACTGTTACTATTATGATTTGAATTACAACCAAGAGGTAACCAATTAGGGAAATTGGCAGGCAATTGTTCTGAACACCAAATAAGACCGGGTATCGGAAGAATTAAACACGATGCATTACAGCTAAATGATTTATTAACATTAATAGTATTGTTTGAACAATCCATATCGGTATTGTATGTAGGATAATAATATGTAATAGAATCATCATTTAAATCATCATGAGATTTAGAGGTATCCAGTGTTCCCCGAGAAGAATAATTATCACGAAGATTACCCAAACTATTATTTCTTGGATAGATAATATCATTTTTACTTTTAGAAGTCTATTATTTACAAAGTGAAAACAAAACAAACAATGTAACTTGTTTAGGATAGAATAAATACAATTGCAGTTACAAACGGAAGAAATTACAACTAACCATAGAAATATTTCACTAGTTGAAATCATGAATCAATCGAAGCTAGACCACCATGGAAAACCTGGAAGCACTGGATGGCCGTTTCATCCGAGTATGGGACTCCTCGACAATGCACATCCACGATCCCGCCCTCCGCAAGATTCGAACACAAGACCTACCAGTCTCGCGCGCGAGCGCTTCCAGGTCTAGCTTCAATTGACCCATGATTTCAACTAGTGAAATTTCTAAAATCTCCACAAAACCCCTACTGATAATAGAAATGTTTATTAATAATTTAGATGGATATGAAGCAGAATGGCAATGGTATTTAACAACTAAAAGAAACAAACTATGTCTTTATGTAATGGTATGAATTTCCTCACTGTTGTGATTAAAGACAAAACATTTTACCCGTCTATATTCGGCAATAGATTGTGAGTGATTTGCTTTGATATTGTCATTTACTCATAAGTTTTTGGTATAAAAAAACACATTGTGGATTGACTAAAGTTAAATATTACTAATGTTGTATACCGACTCAGTTGTTTATAGGATAAACGTATATATGAGAAACCGAAATTTCTGATTTCAGTATCCGAATGCCAGTTTGTGAATGCGCATTGTTGAGGAACCTTATCACATGAATTAGAAAGTCTATAGAGTATTTAATATATAATTTGAGACAGTACCTCGGTTACTTAATATTGTATTAGTATTCTACGTGGTATGTTGGTCATATGCAATATAGAACCTGAGAAATGTGTGCATCGCTTGCGTTTGCTCCACCACATTAGCACAATGAGATGAAATTAATAGGATAAATTCCCGTCCTTTAATTTGTCGCCACGTAATTTAAATAAATATGAGAACATCAAGACTGTCGAAATGTTGCGATATTTCGCCTTCTGGATATCACCAGGTTCATTAGAATCCAATGGTATGCTTTTTTAAGCATATTTCACTGATGAATGGCTTGAGACTTATAGACATATAAACAGTAGTTTTTAAAGTCGTATGTTTATCACTCATGAGAAACCAGTGATAAGTGATAATAAACAACACGGTAAACCGATGGTAGCTGATCACAACCAAAACAACTTTATATTATTCTGGACAAATTTAATCTTTTTAAGGTATAATTTTTCTACCCTCATTCCAAATCAATGGTGAACATGGGCTCCAGTATCTTGAAGGAACAACTGGCATATGAACCTACTGTTGGTCACTGGCTACCACGGGACTGCATCTCCTTACGTTGCTCCACTGTTTTGTGGATCAGACCTTCATATCGAAGGCTCGGGGTGTGGCCCCCTAAGAAAACCACCTGTTTCGGTTTGAGCACCCGGTCAGTAACACAACCCACACACAAATCTATTCGATGCCCCTTTGTATCAATATCTGTGCGTTAAAATAAACTGTTGCTAAAAACATTCTGTTGTATAAAAGGAGAGAGAGAGAGTTGATATCTGTTGGGATATTCAGAAAAATATCCCAAAAATTATCCGGTTAAGTTTAATGCCATCCTTGGACTTGAAATGGTATCATTTTCCTATTGGTCAATTATTATTTCATGTGTCGTTTCCATACTGGTCAATATTTATTTCACGTGTCATTTTCCTGTTGGCCAAATATTGTACAAATGTTATTTTCTATTTTATGGTACGATGTGGTCTGCTTGATTGGTATATAAACCGAGTATGTTTGAAATACATGATCAATATTACAGAGGCTGAGACCGATGTTCTAGACTTAACTGGCTGGGCTAGGCGGAAAGCAAGGCCAGTCCAGACTCTAGACTGCTCATACGGGTTTACGCGTCTTTGATCCGATCGATAAGTCACTGCTCTCTAATCGGCGGTCACACGTTATGACAATATCATTTACAATTTATCTCTTTCAAACCAAATATAATAAGATAAGATTGCTTATTCGACGATATTTTACAAGTCGAGATTAATTTTCAATTACTAGTAAACATTTCCATAAAAAAGTATGTACTGTTTAATTTTAATGGTTCACAATATATGCTTAGTCTCATTTCACAGTATTCTTTTTTATCTCCATCAAAGTAGTGCAAACTAGAATGAAGTAAGATAGGTTCTATGCAATTAACATTATAATCTACATAGGGTTATTTAACATTGTATTACATTTTTGAATACATGAACTGAATAATTATCACAGTCTACATGAAGATTATCTGATTCATGTAGAAACTAACAGTTGGGAACATTGAATGGAATGGCTCAGAATCGATCGCATTAGAACAAATACATATTTTTTTCAACAACAAAAACTCTTTATCTACCCTTTGACACTGTTTCAAAGTTTATTTCGATGGAATTGTGTTTTCTTCCCGAACTATAATGTGTATGCTTAATCGTTTCTACTAGCAATAACAATGTTATTATTTCTATCATTCTTCTATCTGGCTGTGATGATCTCGTGTGACAGCTTGAACCAATACACAAATATACTAGGTTCTACGTTAAGTTTCACTGATCAATCGATCAATCTCTACACAAGTAGGTGTCAGTAAAGAAATAAGTGTATATTCAAATCATTGTTATACAATCCTATCAATTGTTACGAGCTTAGTTTTTCGGCTTGAAAAAAAACCAATCTATATATCAACAGTAATATGATCTAATTTATAACCAGTTTGCACATATTTCACAATAAATTAAATAAACCCCTAAACAGGAATCAATAAATTTGACTATGAAAGTCATTAGTTAAAAGGCAATTTTAAACTGTGAGCCGCAATCTCTGTTAAGCCGATGTATGATTCTATGTGAAAAAGAATAGATTTAAAATGTATGTAGAAAACTTGTAGACAATATGTTTATATATAGGCTCGGCAACTATGTATATTCCATAATCGTTTTCAGAGGATTGGTCACAACCTATGTCAGTGCCATGTTAGTGAACCTGATATCAGACAATATGTGATTGGGCACAGTGATGATAATTCAGTTATCATTTCGATGCCTTGGTCAAGTTTAACAAATATAATCCCGATGGCTAGTGTATTGCGCATTAGTTGCAAACAGTGGATGGAAGAAGATTACAGATAGTCATTTTATGACATGACGCTGGGGATATGAAAGAAAGCTTTATCTGACTGACATCTATTGATCTATCATAACTACCTGATCGAAGTCCTAAACATGGTGTGATTTAGTGGCCTGAGATGTTATCAAACGTGATTTACATTAGAACCGAGTAGTAGTCATGTTACGGTTCATTTTTAAATAAGTGATCGGAACTAGCTTGACTGAAAGTTTTACTTGATTGCATTCTTAACTGAACAGTATCATCCAAATACTTTTACCATCCATTTCTGTAGCAAATGTAATATTTTGGTACCTGATTCTAACAGACTTTAATTGTTTTAAATAACATTAAAAAAATACCAACGTTAATATCTAATTTTTATCTGATTACGAAGTGATAAATTGAACTATTAGATCATATTGCAGATTGCGCAACACAGTGGAAAACTTTACTAGGCAGTATTACATCATATTCCTTAACTTATTTGAGCAATGTACTCTGGATAAGCCTTTACAACAATTGAACGGAATCAATTGATGTTTATTTAGTGCTCAATGTGGCTTAATACCGAATGAGATCTACATGAACGAGTTTCTTTTTTTTATCCAAAGTTGACTGATTTGAATTTATACCAATTAAACCTCACAATAATAAATATATTTTTTATATCCCAATGAATAGAAAAATTATATTTGTGACATTTCGTGACTTAATGTAAGCCACTTCTTCAGAGTGCCACCAAATGCCCTGGTACAGCTGAGAGTGGGGAGTCCGCTCTCCCTCTCCAAATGCACTCTCATGGCCACGTACATACAATCACTTTCAGGGAAGTCCTACTTACTGCTATCTCGCACCAACGGTGTTGTTTACGAAACTGAGAGGACGAAAAGCGAATGTCCGGAGCTTAAACCGAGTTGGTGGACATGGACAGTCCATCTAGGGGAGTCGGAAAACCCTCATTCCAAATCAATGGTGAACATGGGCTCCAGTATCTTGAAGGAAAAAGTGGCATATGAACCAATTGTTGGTCACTGGCTACCATGGAACTGCATCTCCTTACGTTGCTCCACTGTTTTGTGGATCAGACCTTCATATCGAAGGCTCGGGGTGTGACCCCCTACGAAAACCACCTGTTTCGGTTTGAGCACCCGGTCAGTATCACAACCCACACACAAATCTATTCGATGCCCCTTTGTATCAATATCTATGCGTTAAAATAAATAAATAAACTTCTTCAGAGTAAATAAATAACCGAATTTAAATTAACACTGTTGAATTCACGAGTTGATCTAAGTTAAACCATCATTGAAATCCTGAAAGTACTGAACTGTTGTTTCGTCCTAGTATGGAACTTGTGTAAATTTAAATTCGGTTATTCATTTACACTGAAGAAGTGGCTTACATTAAGTCACGAAACGTTAGAAATATAATTTTTTTCTATTCATTGGGATATAACAAAAAATATAATATGGATTATTAACTATCAAGTTCAACTTTGGCAATGATACCAATACATTTTACAATATTGTAAAGATTAATCAATTAATAAGATATAAGATGGACAAAGATTTGAAAACCACTACACGAAAATAAAACTGAACACAGTCAGTCAGTCAGTCCGTATCAAATTCTACGTTGTTACAATATTATAAAATGTATTGGTATCATTGCCAAAGTTGAACTGAACACAAAAAAAGAGAAAAGAAAACAGACATTTGTACTAAATCAACACTAGTAATTATATAAACAATCAACTTATACGAACACTTAGATGCAATAATTAAAAAAAAAAACAAATATTACGCAATATCATTCCAAATTCATTAATCTGTTGATATATATATATATGCACACACTGTTTTAGAGAATACGATGGAAACCATTGTTGGTAAACAAAGGTTATACAAGGTTATCGAAAATTATTCACATAGCACTGTTTGTTTATTTAATTACCACAGAGTGGGTGGGTGGGTGTGTGTGTAGGGGTAGGGGTGAGCGGATGTATGAGCAACACGTACAAACAGATCGATTGATTTACAATATTTAAAAAAAAACAAAAGCACTGAACTTGATAATTATCAATTCTGATTATTAACTAATGAATAATAATGTGTATCACATAGTAAAACATTGTACTCAGGAATTAAGATGAAATGAACACTGACAAATAGATAAACAAATAGACATATATACACTTGTGTGTAACCTTTAAAATATGATATACATAGAATAAACTTTATGGATTTGTTGAATAATTACCATTTAAAATAGGACAAAAAGTTAAACATGTTGAACGGATTAACATGAATACACATGATTCATGTAGTACAACAGTGTCAAAAAAATAGTAAGTAAGATTGCTTACGTAATCAGACTAATATATAAATATATATAGCAGCTAAGCACTTGGTGTAAAATTCACAGTGAACTGGTGCCCTAGTTTCCTACATTCGGTCGCTGACATTGTGTGTATATCTGTGTGCACTATTAGGAGTCGCGATTAATTGGTGAAACTATAATTTAGGGACGACCTTTGTGCAACTCTAAAATGACCTTGAGAATGCACACCTACTTGCTAGGGCTAAATGAGGTTTATAAAGCAATGCGAGGAATTGGAATTATGATTTACAGTTGAAGTTTAGGATTAGAAAATAGATTTAGGGTTCTAATCACGTGCATACAACCACTGCCAGGGAAATCTTACTCACTGCCTTTTCTCGCTAGGGGTGTTGTTTACGAATTTGAGAGGACGGAAAGCGAATTTCCAGCGTTTTAATCGGGTTGGTGGACACGGAGAGTTCATCTCAGTACGTCAGTACCAACGTTGAACTTCGTACGTACGTACATCAGTTCGACTTGCCATACCACATTAGCATGGGGATGCAGTTGTCGATTCAAATCCTAAAGTGGTAAAGGTAGTAAGATTATAAGCGGTTATCGGAAACATTAGGGTTTGAAGATGTTATTCAAGGAGTATAATCCAGTGAGAGTCCATCTAGGAAATTTGGAAAACCCTGATTCAAAACCAATAGTGCATATGGGCTCCAGTATCCTGAAGGAACAAATAGCGTATGAACCAATTATTGGTCACCGGCTATCATGGGACTGCATCTCCTTACGTTGCTCCACTGCCTTGTGGATCAGACCTTTAGGTCGAAGGTTCCGGGTGTGACCCCTAAGAAAACCATCTGCTCCGGTTTAGGAACGCAGACAGTATTCCAGCCCTCATACAAATCGAATGATTTATGTGACATATTTATTTGGTACCTCGTTTTACCAATGTTTATGCGTTTAGATAAATAAAATAAATAAACCCCCAATATACTCATTAGTCCGTGTTGTTGATATCAAATATAATTCCACCAAAAAAACATTAGAGCGAAATTTACAAACGAACACAGTCGAACACTAACTTTGTTGTGTATCATCAATCAGAAATAGGTGAACACTTGATAAAATGAATTTTTTTTAAAAAAAAAAAACCACTGAAGTTTAGTTAGATCGGATCAGATATTTAGTAAGGGTGGAACTCAGAGCTATTCTTCAGCGAATCGTTTTCCTTTCTTTATTTATTGTGACAATACAATACAATAATTGAAGGAAAAGCTTGTTTACTCTATTTGTCTTCTTATTAAACACCGTGAGATATAAATTGCTTACGAAGCAATAAACATTAGGATTCTGTGGTTATTGAATCATTGGGTACAGTGAAAGATCATTAGCTTTAAGAGGCATGTAGTGAACTATAAAATCAACTTAGACTAATCATATTAATTTAACAAATGAAAGATTCATTTACAGCACTAAATTCATACAGCTAGTAGAAATATTGAATAATAACTAATTCTCTTTAAACAAACGACTGATTACTCACCATTTACTCAGATTACATTTACAAAGTACTATATGGATAAACACAAGTAAATTTCTTTTCTTTCAGTTTTGTATTATAAAAACAAAATAACTGAATAATCATTAGTAGTCTAGAGAATGTTAAAATGTTTCTGTATAATTAAACTGAATATATATTTGACCTCTATCTCGATATCTCGAATGTCAAGAGGGTAACATCATTATTACATACAGTCTTATATGTGATAAGATTAATGAGTGGTAGAATTTCAATCAGAATCATTCAAGACAGTGACATAATTTGTTTTACTAAGAGTTAATGCGATCGATAAATAGGAAAATACAATACAACTGGTAGATAATGAAAATCCTATATGGAATTTTTATGGAAACTACTTTAACACTGACAGGATACATTAAATTACATATAATGAATAATGAACGATTTATAAGTGTAAACGATTTACCTACTCTATAGTAGATGCTCGACCAGCACTATTATACCAGGGGCTCGAATAAAAAACAAGTGGTTCTACTGACCAGTACATGTATTCGCCAACAATCAAATATAAGAATAGGGATAAAGAAATATATAGATGACATATCAAATACTTAACAGACTATCTATCAGTCTGTGTCTAGGTCCTTCAGGAATCCCTTGGTTGAGGTCCGAGAGATGGTGTAACACAGTGGCTAATGAGATTATCAGATATGGCTCAGAATAGAAGCCAGTGGCGATCCTGCTGTAACCTTCTTTTACTTTCTTCATAAAAAGTGACCGTAACTTCTTCAACTGAGAGAATTCTTTCTAGTTGTACCTTCCTGTTTCCCCCATTATTATTACTATTTCACTACCATATACTAATTTGTGGTCGTTATGGTTCTTTTTTTTCATTTTACACGCACCTTACATCCTTTATCTCTTCCCATTCTCATTATTGTGTGGCGTAGTATATGTATCTGGTGCCCCCCTTGCACCAATATTCATGTATTCAAACAAATAAATAAACAAGGAAAACAATGAATTACAGTATTTTATCACCCACACAACACCTAATTGATCAGTTTGATTTAGCAACGCATTTTACAACCAAATACTCAATAAATCGAGAATATTAACTTGGAAAGTTATTCAATTTGTATATTACAATAATACATTGATTAGTTTAAATAATAGAAACATAATAGTATTGAACAACTTGGTGTGAAGAACTTTAATAGTGTTCATATCACGATTCTGCTTGGGGGTTACAGTGAGTACATTACAATTTTCGACCATTGAGTTAGTATCCGACAGTTGTCCAGTTGAAGAAAAATATAAATCTTGACAGTAGCTACCACTGTGACCTGATGGTGAGGTTTGCCTATTATAATGACCCAATAGAGTTATATAGAGTGCTACAATTGTTTCACTAGTTTCTACTACGCTAGGCGGATCAGGCTGAAGTGCAGTGAGACTAAAAGCCATAAACTTAAGTTTCGGAGGTGAAATTTCACTGCTAACTGTACTGAAGTGATATAAAAAATGTATTTCCTTCAGACAACTGGCATTTTAAGAGATGGTATCTGACAACGTAAGAAAGGAGTTGGAACATTTCGATTCTAATAATAGCAGACGTGACCTTAATCACACAGATTTACGTCTCCAGTAGTAGGGCCTAAAAGTTAAAGAACTAATACATTAGGAACTAAGCAAAAAATACTATTTGAAATCAACCTCAAAACATTGACTGTCGACAACAAATCAACATTAGTCAAAACAAACATAGAGAACAAGCTTACTGATTCAAATCAATTTGTTCTTGATCAGAAAAGAAAAAAATTAACACTGAATAGGATAGAATCAGTTACTTACTTTGGTTGTTCGTCCAGACCCATGAAATGCCCAAGATGCTTTGATAAATCTCACTTCAGCACCAGATACGCGCATGTAATACGGTTTCCATGAATAAGATTTATTATCCTTTATTTTTAAAAAATGTAATCATGGGTAAAATAAGACCCGATATAGTTTTGAAATCAAAAAAAGCTTATACTTACAAGAATACTTAATAAACTACCTTTCAAATCCAATGAAACAATTCAGTATGCAACTACTCCTAGTTAAAGTATCCGTAACTCTTCGTCATTAGTGAAGCAATCTCATTCTAAACCTTCTCTTAATATGGATAACTTTACCAGTAAATTTTATACACTCTGGCATAACATATTACAATGTCAGTGAAATAAAACCACTCCCATCATTTATTCACTGCATCGATGCTTAATTCTCGTCTGAAAATGACTTAGATGTGTATCCGATTCCAAAAGTGAGATTATGGGAACTTCAAATGTCGTGGTTTTTAATTACTGAGTGAACACCCATATCTGCTGTTAGCTTACATGGTAACACTGACTAATTTTAATCATATAGATATGATTAAACCCCAGATCACGCAATAACCTGGCACATGTATTGGAGTAGACCTAACTAACATATCGTTGTAATTATTACTTTTTTTGTTCCATGATATGTGATTCCGTTTTATTTTCTCTCGTTGTAAATGAATATATTCAATCCGTCATGGAACTGGAAGTGACCTTTAACACACCGATCATACATCATCAGAACATCCTTTTAAAAAAAAATCAACGGTTCCCGGCTATGTATAACAAGCTGATCATGTCTGTAAACTGGCATAAATTCTATAATTGTTATTTTCAGAATACTTATATTATGATTATTATTAATATTAATCATGCCATCCGTGACTAAACACACCCTACACTTTCTTAGTCTCTAAATCGAATCTATATCATAGAATCAAACTATAATACGTAGAAAACTTTCATAAAGACAAAATCAACCCTTTCAAAACAAAATTGCTCCACGTACCATTAGAACACATTAACCACAATACACAACACTTTTTTAAAAACATCTTGTTCATAGTTGATAATTCAAAGATCCACTAAGTAAACAATGACAAGAACTTAGAGATATGAAAGTATTACATCATTATTCAATTTTCTGACTGAATATAAACAGAGTATCGGACGAGATGAAAAAACTACCCAAGTTTTAGTTACTAATCGTAATATTTCCCTCATCATATTACCAGAAAGTACCTTTTATCACACTTGATTTACAATAGATTACCATAAAATTTAATTTGTTAATATTCTGTATACTGTATGTTGTAACATTTCAAGTTGTTCTGTTTCTTTCATATATTTCATTTTGTCATAGTTGAAGTATTTCTTTGAATGCCAACTGATGTGATCTACTTTATTATAGAACTTTTTAGGCAATGATAGATAGTGACTAGCAGTGGAATCTAAGACACGCGTTTCGTCCTATTTGAGAATGGTCAGCTCTATGTACCTGCATCTCAGAGTCGATGTTCACTCCTGGACTAGAACCCAATACTGTTCGCTTCAAACGCCATCGCATTCTCCACTTAGCTACTAATTCCTGATAGCCACCTACTTGTGCAATGGGGTGAAGTTTAAATTCACTTGATGTTGCTTTACTTGAATCTTCCCATTGTTATTTTGGACTATGATTGATCAGTCTCTTATTGGCATATGTGCATCCTGTGCCAAATGCCTCGATACTGTCACTAAGTCATAAGCATTATAAGCAAAGATGGATGATGGCTAGCAGAGGAATCTAAGAAGCTAATGGTGCTTGGTTCGAGCCCCGTGGCGAATATAAACTCTGAGATGTAGGTACATCCAATTGACAAGTCCTAAAGTAAGAACGAGACATGAGTCCTGGATTCCAATGCTAGCCATCATTCATCTTTTCTTAAAAAGGCAATGTTTAATTAGTATACACTAAAGTTATCTATCTTAATACCAATAATTGACCATTAGTCAAATATGTATTCAATTCATATACAAATAAATAGAATGTAACATAAGAAAACTTACAGATCCACCGATAGCAAGAATTTTGCAAAAACATTGACGTGACAAAAATGATCCAGACATATCACATAGTATATTCTATGAAATGAAAAAACAAAAAAAACTTAATTAACGACAACGAAAGAAAAATTTAATCATTTGAAGAGATAAATATGAATATGATTAAAGAGGGTAATTAGTATTTCACATTGTATATCATTCCCTGGATAGAATATTGAAAAAGTTAAGGTAAATCAGGTGTAGTTCTATGATTTGTTTTTTAGATATCTACTAATCATTCATAATTAATGTGAATTGACCCAAATTGCTAACATTATTAAATCAACATAATAAGATAGAATTAGAATAATGAGAAGTAAACAATTTGAAATCAGTGAGTCAATCAACAACGTACAACTTCGTACGTACGTACATCAGTTCGAGTTGCCATACAACATTAACACAGAGATACAATTGTCGATTCAAATCCCAAAGTGGTAGAGGTAGTAAAAGTATAACCAGTAATCGGAAACATTAGGGTTTGAAGATGTTATTCAACCAGTATAATCCAGTGAAATATATTTAAAAAGAGAAAAAAAGAGACAAGGAGAATTCTGGTGATTACAATTTGGGAGAACACAAAGAGGAGATGCACCTGTGCCATTGCAAACGATTTTGAGCCATGTCATTCAAGGTCTCTAACCATCGGTTGCTATTGTCTCGCGGATCAAAACCAGGTAGTTTAAACCTACCAACATGACTCAGTCCACTTGTCCGTGACTTCATGGATTTGTGCCATGTTTTGGTCTGGCCGCCTCTAGATTTCGTCCATCCTACTCTTACACCATGAAACATCGCACATCGGGGCAGTCGGTGGTTATAAGAAACAGTAAATGGATGAACCAGTTAAAGAATATCCGTTATAAATAGATAAGTTATAGGGAAGAAAACAATGATGATAATAATATTACACATTGTAGACAAATTTAACTTTGTTAACGAACATAATTAAGTATTCTATAAATTACAAATAAACAATTGTATATGAATTTGTCTTCAGAAACCGAATAAATCTTTTAAGCAGTATCTACATTGTTTGTTTTTTAGCTAGGATCACAATTAGGGGTTTCAGATTACAAGCTTTATTACGAACTAACATCAAAATACATTATCTTTAAACTAAAGTTCGCCTTAGGGTTAAACGTTTAAGGTAAGATTTAAGCAAATTATGTTACACAAAGTCTTAAGAATAACAATTGAAGAATCAATAAGTTTAACACAATTAACTACAACTTTCTCTGTAATAAATCAACTTATCGCTACTATTATTCACAGTACAAGAAAGTCGATCGTTGAACAGAAACCTAAAAAAATCACTTCCGCAATGCTGATTAGTTTCTCCCTCTATATATATATATGATACTTTCATCACTTGATCTTGTATTTTGATTTCAAATCATTCAAAGGTTTACGTCAATGGTTCAATCTCTTGAGTAGCTGCTAATCATTCGATCACGAAACGATGTATCATTCCATATCATTTATCGATTAATCAGAAATTGATTTTGTTTGTTCAAATCATTTATAATCTACATTATAACATGATTATTTTTTTAAAAAAGAAGATCAAAATGGGACACATCAGCGATGTATTCGCAGTAGATTTTATTTATTTCAACACATAGATATTGGTACAAAGAGGCACCAAATACATATGCGCCACACAAATCTCATTCGATAAATGTGAGGGCTGTGATACTGACCGGGTGCTCAAATCGAAGCAGGTGGTTTTCTTAGGGGGTCACACCCCGAGCCTTCGACCTGAAGGTCTGACCTACAAGGCAGTGGAGCATCGTAAGGAGATGTACTCCCATGGAAGCCGGTGACCAATAATTGGTTCATACGCTATTTGTTCCCGCAGGATACTGGAGCCCATGTGCACCATTGGTTTTGAATCCGGTTAAAGCTCAGGACATTCGGTTTTCGTCCTCTCATTTTCGTAAACTACACCCCCGCCACGAGAAGGTAGTGAGTAGGACTTCCCTGGCAGTAGATTAGTATTGAGTTTAAAGTATTTAGCTTACTTATTCCACATGATCGTTATAATAGTTAATTAAGATGATTAGATACTTATCATTTTTTTATAATGGTACTTAAATGTTATTAGATTTGTATGCTTTATGTGACTTAAATTTTTAAATTGTATTTTAGTCAATAATGATGCACTGCATTTTGTTTCTAAGTAATTTTTTTTTAAAAATTGCTTCAATGAGGGGGATCGTGCAGTGTCTATCGAAGGTTGCTATGTATATTTTTTTCTGGATCATAGTGAATGACAGTATTATTTGTCATATCGTCTATCAAGGTGTTCATTGAATTCTAAAATACTTTCAATTTATCATACATTAAACTAAATGTAACTAGATTTTATAATGGAATAATAGTTGACAATGAAATAGATAAACAATCTCAAGTACTCGATATTTATATATCTTACATTATTAATAATAATAATAATAACACTTAATGAAGTCAAACATGTACATAAGTATATATGTTTCATATTAACAATACAGAATTGAGCATAGATTTGTGAAGATTGTTGACTTCTAACTTAGATCGTGAATCGATCAATGGTGATCCAACATTGATCGCTTCACGATCACAATGCATATTTACTTCTATATAGTTGAAATTTGCAACAAAACAGGTCTTCAAAGTTGGTTGATTGATGAAAACAGAAAACGCATACTTATACATAAAACCATGTGTATATTAGAATAAACTATGTTAACATTGAGATTATGTGTAGCCCCATACAGAAAATCAATACAGAATGAAGTCGCTATAAACATAGTAACTTGTTGTAATTAAGTAGTTTTGAACCATAATTGGATGTGTACCGAACACAAAACTGTAAACTTGATTTTTACTGTTGAGGTAAGTTAGAATTAAGTTATTATGAATATTGATAAATGTTTATTGATTTTCCTTATGGTTGGGGATATGTAATACTAAGTTTAAAGTAGTGGAAATAGTAAGAGTATTAGGAGTCGTAAAAGTGATTATATATACACCATACAACTCGAAAACGAAGGATAATTTTATGGTATACAAAAAAACATAAGATCGTAGTGCTAATCAACAACTACAGTTTCGCAGAACGAAGAGAAGACGAGGTTGGTCTGAAAAAAAGGATGTAATTGCTCTATACATTTCGAACCAATTAGTCACACGTATACAAGTCAACACATTTTATAGGAAAATTAATAAAGCTCAGTGAAATGAAGGTACAGGTAAACAAATCAACAAATGTATAGAGTAAACACAGCATGTTTTCCAAATCAACTCCGTCTTATCATTGTTCTATTGAAATTTATAAAAGGGACTAATCGCTCTAACTTCAAGTTTATTTCATTTTCAGACACCTATGAGACATTAACCTACTATAACCGACATTTAACTATACAATAGTCAAGTTAATAATTACATGTATATCAGTCAGTAAGTGATAACGCCGACCTTGATACCTAAATATATCGGTTCAAGTTGCCATACCTTTTTTGCAAAAACAAATGAGATTTTAAGCACAATTCCCACAACAGTAGAAGTAGTAACAATATACGAGCTAATTGAAAATACTACACATCGAATATACCATTCGACAAGAAAACATAAATTAGTGATCTAAAAACAAAAGAAAACTCATAAACAATTAATTATCTTAGAATTAGGGGGAGAAGAAAAAGAACTGATGCACCTGAGTGATTCCAAACGATTTTGAGTCAAGTCATTCAAGGTTTCTAATCACTGGTTGCGATGATCATGCGAACCACAACCAGGTAGTTTACACTCATCAACATCGTTCAGTCCAATTGTTGACGACTTCACGTTTTCGTTTCCCTGCCCCTAGTTTTCTTCCAGTCTACTTCTACACCCAATAACATCCAATCGAATTGGTAAGTATAGAATCTACCTGAGGGAGTTAGAAAACCTTGATTTTAAACCAATAATCTAAATGGAGTACAGACCCAAATTTGGTCACAAGCTAATATGACAAGACAACTCTGACGCCGTTCTACTGACTTGTGGATTAGACCGATATTGCGTAAGTCAAACCACAAACAGCAGACAAAAAAACGTCGATACAAATAAGGATTTATAACTGAAAAAAAATTTTAAAGTGTGATTACTGGAGCTTCTGACAAACTTTCCCATAATAATTAAGATTATTATTATGATTATTATAGGAACAAACTCCACAAAATCGATACGCTTCACTTTATAACCTTGAAGTTACAAATAGATAACAACTACAAGTACACACACACACACACAGAGACACACGGATATTTTGCGTCAATATAACTAATTGAAGAGGGGCTTTGTGGATATCATAGTAATTTAATAGTTGAATTCATGAGTCAATTGAAGTTAGACCACCATGGAAAACATGAAAGTAATAATTGGTTTGTTTTAAGAAACAAATTGTGATTATTAGAGTAAGAAGTACGGACCAATCAACAATGTGTACGCAAACAATATAGAACAGTAAAATGATAAATTCTAGTGTCTCAAAGTGATAATCAATTACTTAATACTTTTATGAGCTATTCAAATAATAAGAACATAGAAAATAGACTGATTAATAAAAGACTTAAACATCAATGGCAAGATGTAAACAACCAATACAAGATGCAGTAAACTTCACCCCACTGCACGACCTAGTGGTTATGTGGCCCCCAAAGGCCCTGGTACGGTCGAGAGTGGGGAGAGTTAGCTCTCCCTCTCCAAATGACCTCACATGGTCACGCTCAAACAACCAATGCAAGGGAATTTTTATTTACTGCTTCCTCAAACTATGGGTGTTATTTGCGAAACCGAGAGGACGAAAAGCGAATGTCCGAAGCTTTAACCACGTCAGTGGATATGGATAATCCAAAACAATGGTGCACATGGGTTCCAGTATCCTGATTGAACAAATGGTGTATGAATCTAATGTTAGTGACTGACTACTATAAGAGTGCATCTCCTGACGTTGCTCCACTTCCTTGTGGATCAGACCTTTAGGTCAAAGGCTCAGGGTGTGGCTCCCTAAGAGAACCATCTGCTTTTGTTTGGGCATCCGGGAAGAACCACAGCACACATACTAATCAATTGTAACTGCTACTGGAATAATTGTTATTTTGTGTGGCGCATATGGATTTGATGCCCCCCTTGCACCGAATATTTATGTGTTAAATAGAAAATATGTATAATGGTTATATGGACTCAGTAGTAAAGTCAATAACACAATGAGGTTTTAAGTCAACGATACTGAATTCGAGTCCAGAAGTGAACATCAACTCTAAGATATGGCAAGTACATCCAACTAAAGACAAGTCGCAAATAGGACAAGACGCGCTTCTTGGATTCCATCAGTGTTAGCCACATATAAAGATAACAAAACAATAAAACAAAGATTTTTAGATTGACTAATAGTAGTATGATGTATAATGACATGAAACCTAGTCGAATGTTGAAATGATTAACTAGATATATATACACCATATAGTAAATTACATAGTAACATTAATGAGCTTTACAATACACTACTATATATTTGTATAACTCTATATTGACTAGTCAATGAATGTTAAGATGAAGCATTTTGTAATAAATAAATAAATATGATAAGTTTAAATAGAAATAATCCTATTCGGTATTACTATTATTCGTAATTACTAAGAGGTCAAGGTAATATATATACATAGTTTATATTTAATGGAATTCCAAAGTGTGATCAAAATGATCAAAGTCGATTATGATAAGATAGAGAAGGCAAAAAAGAACAGATCATTAAGTTAAATTTATATAATGATTTGTCGTCAAGACTATAATTTAAAGACGAACCAATTAGGTATAAGATAACAGGTCTCAAATATTGGCGCGAAATTCATTCATTGATTTGGCTAAATAGAATTTTGGCATTATAGCTGATGTCATTTCGTGATAAAAAAAAGCTTAAATCTAATTCCTAACCTTAACACCATCAACTGTAAATCATAATTCGATTTCGTTACATTAATTTGTAATCCTATTTGGTCCTAGTTATTAGGTGGACACTCTCAAGGTCAGTCTAGCGTCACTACAAGGTCGTCCACAAACTATAGTCTCAATGATTTTTCTAGAAGTCATTAGGGACAACATAATACTTTCATGTGATGAAGTATAATCACACACACGGACGAACGGTCGGACAGATGGATGGATGGATGGATGAAGTTATCTTGAAAAACATTACAATATGCTGAGACAAGAGAAATTCAAATGTTAAGATGTACTTTCATCCCAATCGAAAACTATTACACACTGTTCGAAGTGAAGCAAACTAAAAGTTAGGAAAGTATTCAGAAGAAAAATTAGTGAGGAATATTGAGAGCGATATTGTTTACGAAGTAGAAAAATATTTATTCTTGAGAGATATGAAAAGAAAGTTAGGTTAGAATTAATTTGAACAATGTAGGAGTGGGACCAGAAGGTTCGACGAACAATTGCATTAAGCATGTTAAGCACATATGTCTTACGAGAAGTGTTTTATGCGTTAGTTTCGTATTTTTAGGGCTTTATGGAAGACGAAGACAGAAATCCGTCTGATGAGGTGAGATGTGCTATTATTGTTAGGGTTGAACATTTCTAATTCCTTTCTTTTCGTTGTGAGAAAGCATCAACGTTGCATATGCGGATTGTCTAAAGGAAACTACTGATTGTTATTATATGCTCATATAGTCAGTAGTAAGACTGCAACCTCGGACCTTTAGATGTCTTTAATCTCACCGTTCTCCAACCAAATTGTGTAGCACGGTTAAACTTAAAGAAACGAATGACCCAGCCAAAAACACTTGATTCGGTTATCACAACAGGCAAGCCTGACCACCGCGTGTCAGGAAAGCAGCTACGATTGGAAGCAAGAGAATATGACTGATCCAAGAGCAATCATGCACACAAGTACTTCCACTTGTTTCAATCAGTTTCTAAGACAAAATATACACTATATCCTATAGTTTCATCTACTCTAATAACAAGAAAAAACTAGATTTCATAAACTACCTAATAATTTATGAAAATAAATTATATTGATATCAACTAATTTGTAGGCAAGAAAGCTCAAATAATTTCCTAAACTCAATTGAGAAACAGCTTTCCCATGGAAGTCAAAACAACAGACGTAAACAAACATCTCCGTTAGACAGCGAAAGAAAATCAGAAAGCATTAGATGGCTGTTTCGCCTCAGTGTGCCACCCCTCAGTAGTGTGCATTCCACTAGAAATCGAATTTAAGATCCTTAAGTCAATAACAATGTGTGCAATAGTGATTAATTCCAACAAGTGACTATCTGAATTCGAGAATCCCGCATGTGAGGCGTTTTAACCAACAATCACATTCAAGTAGCCCCTAAAAACTTCAATGGTTGTCTATAACCCAAAAAATACTGTCTTTATATGTACTAAAAAGTAACGTATACACACAAGCGCCTAAACTGTAATTTGATAAATTCATATGCAAAGTAGGTTGGATGAAATAAATCGAGAATCTCAAAAACTCTAAACTTAAACGTTATTAACTGAAGGTCTCATCACAAGGAAGGCTATCAGTATCTATCAAGTTACAGAAAGATTCTGTACAGATTACCTAATGAAAAACATAAACAATCAGCATTTCTTTAAACTAATGAAAATTGTTAAACACTGGAGGATACAATACATTATCATACCCTAAATCAAGTTAGCTTAGAATATCATTTCGTGAATCCAAATGATGAAAAACTAGAAAAGATAACGAGTTCGTTATGGGATTAATTATAGAGCGAAAACGAAACTATAATAAGGAATAATTAAATGACCACTATGTATTCAGGAAAATCTATCTACCAATTGACTTACCGATTCTGAACGATGTGATCGTAGACCTGAGCATAAAGCACGAAACTGTAGGCGTTTTTTAGTCGAGTTCACGGTAGTATGATCACGACTCGATTCCGAACAATGAGAGCTGAAAGTAAAGAAACAAATTCATAACATACGGCTGTCATAATTTTTCAATCTGCACTGAGTACCTTAGTGAAGCGTATAGATTACGGAACCCACACATTTAAAAAAAATTCAGACTTCTCGAACCGTATAATAAACTGAATCTACCAATAAATTCTGGTGAACAAAGAATGAAGAAGTGACGCCATGAACTAACATCGACTTCACTAAAAGTCGAAAAGCAGAACAGTGTACATCTTATGTTGAACATAAAGCCCACTGCATCAGATTCACTGTGTACATCAATGATGCTGTCCAGATATGTGAAGGTCTTCACATCCTCAAAAGCTTCTCCGTCAAGTGCAATTTGATTGGTGCATGTTGCATTGTATCGGAAAATCTTGCTTTTCCTTTTGTGTATGTTGAGATCTGCTGCTTTACTAGTTGTCTTCTGCATTTGTTGTTGCGTATGCGATAGAAGAGCCAGATCATCTGAGAAGTCTAGGTCGTCCAGCAGCATCATTGCTGTCCAGTCTGTCCTATGCTTCAGATGTTGAGGTCTTTACAATCCAGTCGATCACCAGGAGAAAGAGAAAAGTTCGGTCCTCACTTCGAACGAGTCTGTGGGCTGTCCCCCATGCACGAGTCTGCAGTTTAATCCATCATAAGAATTCCGTATGATGTTGACTATCTTTTCAGGCACGTCGTAGTGTCGAAGAAGCCTCCATAGTTTTGTCCTGTCCATACTATCAAATGCTCTCTCGTAATCAATGTAGAGTGGTGATCGACTCATGGTTTCACTGAGATTAAACGAATAGTTCGCCAATGCTATGTAGCGCATAATTCCATGTTTATGTTCACTCTAGTGTATTATTTTAGGAAATTTGTATCATATACAGAAAGTATTTTAGTTGTCATGAGAAAAACATAGTTATATAATCCTTATTGATAATTCAAAAGTACCAAAATAAGGTCGTAACATTTAAAACTTAAGACACCATTTAATTATAAACAAATAATCAATACCTAATCACTTCTATGTAACACAAATATTTTGTTTTAATGGTAGATTAAAAACTAATTAATTATAATACCGGAAATAATTATGCCACTATCTGATAACGGTTATCAGCTATCAATGAAATGTGTTTTTATGATTACAAGCCTTTTTATATAGACAACTGTCAAGAAAACTATAGCGAATGTACTTCAAACTTAAGAGTTGTGTCTAATGGAGCTCTGATGAAAACAGATCATATTATAGATAGTATGTAAGTAAACTAATAGTGAAAGCCATTATGGCTTATGCTAATGTGGGCAATCTTTGGACTTTCGTGGTATTAGTCTGATTGTAAAGGATGGGGTCTATAATCTGTCAGTCAGAGCAGTCTATGCTTGTGAAAATTGGCTTCTCCTACTTGACGATGTTAAGCGACATTCTGTGTTTGATCATCGTTGGCCTTGAACGGCTACTGATATCCAGTGAGAACACAATGTTAATGATGTGGAGATTCGGTAATGTGTGTTCGAGTAGAGACTATAATTCAATTGATGTCACTATCTACAAACACCGACCTTAGTGGCTTGGACTAGGAATGTCGTCTCATCGAATTCCACATCCTTGTGTTCTTTTCGAACGATGGAACTGGCTGGGAGAAACGGAGAGATGGTCAGTATATCACATGACATGGTGTTGTCGTGGTATTAAAGAAAGCTGTACATGAATGGTTTCTGTTGATCCTTCACGACTCCTTGGTTAGGACCTCGAGATGGTGCGACACAGTGGCTAGAGATGTTTTCAGAAATGTTTCAGAATAGAAACCACCAGTGGTGATCTTGCGGTAACTTGCTTGACTTTAAAAAATTCTCCCTAGTTGTATTTTTCCCAACGACACTGCTTCGCCCATTATTATTATTATTATTATTGCAATTGTTGTCATTACTTCACTCATACACTAAATCTTATTCATTTTGGTTAGTTTTCTTGTGATTATGCTCACCTTTCTTTGTCTATTCACAACTTCATTTTTTTATTGTGTGACGGATGCATTTATGTTGATGATCCCTTTGTATCAATGTTTATGTGTATAAATAAAGTAAATGAATGAATACGTAAAAAGATTCAACATAAAAACACGAATGTCCTTCTAGTAAATTTGACCTAAGCATAATGATGACACATGATTTGTCTTCAAATAAAAAACACTAACTGAACATTTCACAGATCCACTCTGATAAGACATGACATAAAAGACTAAGCAGTAGTTAACTTCTACAATTCGTTTGGATAACAACATTTGATATATATGGCTTGATGAAAAAAACAGTGGGATTATAAAGGGACCACATGTGTAAGGAATTACTGTAAAATAAGGTGACTCATGAAAAGCGTTTTATAAAACCCAATGGCTATTTAAAACAAAATAGCAGTGCTAGCAGAATTGGATAGTGGATAGCAGTGAAACTCAAAACGCGCGTTTCGTCCTATCCGGGAGTCGTCAGTTGGATGTGCCTGCAACATCTTAGAGTAGATATTCATTCTGAGGAAATCTAAAGCGAGGGGGAGCAACTAGCCCTAACAGGTTTACTCCTGAGATTTTTAAGGATGGTGGTCCAGTATTAGCAGTGAGATTAACTGAGGTCTTGGGTAGAATTTGGGAACTGGACGTAATCCCACCTGACTGGTCTCAATCACTGATTGTGCCAGTTTTTAAGAAAGGACAAAAGTCCTCTTGTGACAATCACAGAGGAATCAGTTTGACTAAAATAGTGTCTAAAATATTAGCTTCACTAATTCTTCGACGCCTAACTAAAGCTCGTGAAGAGCAGACTAGAGAAAACCAGGCTGGTTTTCGACCTGAACGTGATTGTATAGACCAGATATTCACACTACGTCAGGTTCTAGAACACAGATGCCCCACAATCGTAGTATTTCTCGACCTTAAGGCAGCATTCGACTCTGTTGATCGTGAGGTTCTATGGCAGTGTTTGTCACTGAAAGGAGTACCAAAGAAGTACATTAACCTTGTAAAGGCTCTCTACTCGAACACAACTGGTCGAGTGAGAGCTTATGGCGAACTGTCATCAGAATTGATTACCTCAGGTGGTGTTCGTCGAGTCTGTCCACTCTCTCCAATCTTGTTTAACTTTGTCGTTGATGTGGTTTTAGAAATAACACTTTCCTCGTCTAAATTTCCAGGGGTTGAACTTCTATCGGGAGGTTCACTTGTTGACTTAGAATATGCTGATGACATAGTTTTATTTGGTGAAGACGCTGACAAAATGCGGAGTCTTCTGACCACTATAAGCAATAATTCAGGCATGTTCGAGATGCGATTCTCCCCATTCTCGAAATTAAAATGTTGCTTCAGGATTGGGTTGCATTGGTAAGTGTAGACTACCTAGTTGGGGGACGGCGAGATGATAGCAGCCTATGGTTAGAGACCCTGAATGACATTGCTCAAAATCGTTTGCAATGGTGCAGCTGCATCCACTCTTTGTGTTCTCCCAAATTCTAATATCCTGAATCCTCCTTGTCTCTTTTTTCTCTTTCCAAACTTCTTACACTGGATTATACTCTTTAAATAACATCTCCAAACCCTAATCTTTCCGATTACTGCCTATACTCTTACTACCTCTACCACTATGGGATTTGAATCGACAACTGCATCTCTGTGCTAATGTGATGTGGCAACTCGAACTGATGTACGTACGTACGAATTTCTACGTTGTTACTGACTGAACTGTCTGAATTACTTATTAAGATATTGATATATGAAAGTAAAGATGCGAAAAGGACTAATTGGAAAATAAAAATAATGAGAATAGAGTGTAAACAATATGGATCACACCACTTTGGATGATAAATCAATATCATTAGGGTAGGTGTTTAGTTTAAGTACATAATGATTTTAAATGCACAAAGTGGGAGAGGGCTTTGAACTTCCATACAGCTAAAGTTTTGATAATTCTAAATATTCCCTATAGACAAATTCTATTTAGATCAATTTCATGAGCTGTTTCAATTATGAGTTTAGCAATTGATGAAGATGAGTGTTTAATACTTACGTTTATTAGAACATTGGATTTTATGTATACCTAAAGCAATGATGGTACATGTTTAGACATCTTAATAAATAAATCACGACTGCTCAGCCGTAAATGTGTGGCCACAAAAATAAACACACAAACATGAGTGTAAATTGATAGACGAAATGGGATCTGATACAATCATTGACATGTTGACTATGTTTATAATGAAGGATGGACTTTGTTTCTTTTTCACACAATGCTGTTAATGACAAAAGAAAAACCGAACACCATCTACAAAACAAAGTGTTCCGAATACGAAAAACACTAGATCAGACAAAGTGAACTCCCTCTTCATTGTTGCCTGCTTGAACATCCATTAGTGGTCAAATGCCAGAATATATCTTCACTTATATCAATGCATGAGGACGATTGTGAACACACATTCGAATAAAAAAATATTGAAAACTTGGATAGAAGGAATACTTAAAACAGTAGAAAGTTTTCTTGGGGCTTAGCACCAGGTCAATCAGAAATCAACAAACACATCGAAATCGATCCAAATTATCAATCAATCAGAAAGATCATAGACAAATATAAGATCAAGAATCACAGGAAAGGGAGATCCAATCGAAATAAACAGGCAGACGATGACAACTTGAAGGTTAACAGTGGGCAATAAAATTTGCGTTCGACAAGGCAAGCTATGAGTCATATGTGGAGAAATCCGAACACTTTACTCCTTCCTAAAGTTTATACTGACGATGTGGTTCAGAAGAACAATGAAAGCTCCATGACCGAATCATCTACCTCAAAGACGAAAATCATCCACTTGAGCTACAAATTTTCGCCACCATATCAATATCATAACATTCTCCAAATTAAATTAATATACTGAGGTGTTTAGTGAATAATGAATAATAATACACACAACCATATAACAAATGAATTAAACAGAAAAGTATTAATGAGTTAATTTATAATGAATTACTTGTAATGAGCAGCTTTTGTAGACATATCTTTATGACAATTAGGTATGGGACTAGAATAGTAAGGTAGTTGTGAAGAAAATTCTAGATTTTTAACTGTATTCTTATCATTATCATCAGAAAAACAATTCATTTGTTGATAATTATCCCATATGCCAGGATGTCGATGAGTTTTACTTTTACGGCTACTACTATTACTACTTCTAGTAGTAGTGGTAGACGTAGAAGTAGTATTAGTTGTCGTTATTGTTTTCATATTGGCTAAACGTTGACTTTCTTGTTCAAGCATGTGATACATTTCACCGGCTCGTGTCCACAAATCTGAAACAGATTCATTTTGATCTTGATCAAATGATGCCCATAAACGTGAACTTAATAAACTTGTTTTACTGGATCGGTGTGATGTACCAACAGAAGTATAATTTGACTTATTGGTATATGTTGCATGATATGGCATAGGTGAATCTTCTTTAGCTAAAAAATAAAAAATGTAAAGATAAAATTATCCAATGGAAGAATATGCATAGGCCCAAGTTGTCATATCAATTCAACACAAAGGAAAGAAACTAACAAAAAGGAAACTGAAACAACCAAAATAGTGCAGTATGCAACGGTAATGAAAAGGAACGAAAAGTTGAGAATATAATGTGAGAAGATAGAATGGGAAACACATATGAAATGATACTGCAATTCAAGTATGTCTAACTGACTTCTGTGCTTAATTGGTAGTTGTTATTGTTGGCCATCTCAAACACCTCAATCGATAAAGAATCAGTAATTCATAAAACGTATGTGTAATCTCCCAAATTCCCTGATATGGTCGACAGGGAGGAGTTAGCTTCACCTCTCCAAAGGCTCTCACATGATAATGCGTACGTACTCACTGCCATACAAGTCCTACTCATCATATTCTCATGACTGTGGTGTTCTTTATGAAATTGAGAGGACGAAAAGCCAATGTCCGGTCACGGCTTAAACCGGGGTGATAAATACGATGGAACATACACCTACGGCGTTGGAAAACTCTGATCCTAAAACAATCGTATACATGGGATCCAGCATCCTGAGAGAACAAATGAAGTAACAACTTGTTGTTGGTCACCGACTACCATGGGACTGCATCTCCTAACGTTGCTCCACTACACTGTGGATCAGAACTCAAGATTGAAAACTTTGGGAGAGTAACCTTACTATTGTTCACTAGATTATCTAACAAAACGATAGGAATGCTTTGAAGACATGTTTGATTAAAAATCTGCAGTTTATCTAATGCCTCTTAATTTAATGGACCATGATTCAAAGCCAAAGACTACAGAATAACTCAATCGACAAGTAGTTAATGCATGAATACAAGTTAATACATGTTTATAATTTGTCGCAAATTAACTTAATACATATATGTGATAATATCAACTACTACAATAATATGGGGACTAAATAAGTAATCTATATAATTGCAAATGGTGTCAATTATGTGTTCATAAATCAGATATCTTAAATATGATTAGAGAGAACTTATTCATCCATTGAGAATAACATAATGTGATCTTATGACTATGTAGCAACGAATAGCATGTATTGTAAACTCTAAATAAATTTTTCAGATGTAATAGATATACATCCAGCTATAGAGTTACAAATGTCACTATGCCAAGTTGTGATTAAACTTTGGTCTAATAATAGAAAATTAGATAAACCATATGTACAGTTATACAGTTTAATTATATTACAAATTGACTACAATCTAATTGCATAGTATGGAACAACCGCTGTGAAGATTAAACGTACAACACACTATATAACTGATCAAATAAATATGAGGCTGTAGTCTCTGTTAACGATTGAGTCAATTGTCTAAATTATTAATCCACAGATTCATAATGGTTAGACCGGAAATTTCAACCGTAAAACTAGCCAATATGAAAAAAAAGGTTACTGATCATTATTTTGAAGAAAACTAGTGATTGTCAAATGTGTACAGCGAGGATTCAAATGACTATCATCATTGATCACTGTTTAATTGTTACATGATATTGTTAGGAAGATAATGAGTTATCTAGTTTTTTTATCAAGAAATAATAATGTCAATGGTTGAGATCATGAGTCAGTTGAACCTAGACCACCATGGGAAACCTGGAAGCACTGAACGACCGTTTCGTCCTGCTGTGGGGCTTCTCAGCAGTAATAATGTTTACAAGGATATCCCCCCTAATCACTTTTGTTGTTACCTTATTGATTGTTTTCATTTATAGTTTACTAACTGTGTTATACTTCGAAATTATCATTACTTGCTATATATAAACAGAGTTATTTCACTACAACTTTTTTTATCTTAAATATCAATCTTTTAATAGTCTTTTGACTTATTTCTGTTTTTCAAAGGGTTAAAGATGATCACTATGTCAGTCGTCCAATCTGTCAAGTTTCATATAAGAAAAATAGTTCAATTGTTAGTAATTCAAATTACCGTAGACTACAGCACAGGTATACATATAAGTTAACATTAACACTAATGTTACAGTGAAGTTTAATTAGTGAATGTAAATATAAGTAGACTACCACACACTATTGCACTGAAAAATACAAAAGTATGCCAAAACGCATCGATACAACTAGAACTGCATTTTACTAACATAAGTAGTACGATTAATTATCAAGAACAAGGAACCTATGATTATAATTTATATTTATTAGTCGTTCGGATCTTCCCATTGATGTTTAGGACTTGTTATGTCCCGATAAGCATAATGAATGTTAACTTTTAGGATCCAGTGATGGACCAATACTATACGTATATTTTCTTCGTATAATTCTTAAATAACTAAACTATACATATTTATATTCTTCTTATCATAAGCTTTATTTTGACCTATGAACTAGCAATATAAGTTTCACCATTCTTTAATTATACCCTGTCTATTAATCACTACCTCCCTCATTCACAGCCACTTTTGGCCAAACCTTGTACAAATGTTATTTTCTATTTTATGGTACGTTGTGGTCTGTCTGGTTGGTATATAAACCCAGTACGCTTGAAATAAAGAACTCATATCGCAGAGGTTCGGATTGGTGTTCTGGACTTAACTGGCTAGACAGGAAGCGGGACCAGTCAGGACTCTAGACTGCTCATACGGGTTTATACGTCGTTGATCCGATCGATAAGTGACTGTTGTCTAATTGGCGGTATCGTTTACGTACACATTAACAGGGCACGCAGGCCACATGTTATAACAGGACTGCAATTGATCAATCTCTTTCTTGATATATGTGCATTCTGTGCGGATTGCTTCGATATTGCATCAAGTCATAAGCATTTTAAGCAGAAGTTGGATGTTGATTAGCAGTGGAATCCAGAACGCGCGTTTGACTTTACTTGGATTTCACCAGCTGGATGTACCTACTACATTACAAAGTTGACGTTTATTCCGAGACTCGAAACAAGTACCAATTGTTTCAAACGCCATCGCGCTATCCACCTAACTACTGAGTACAAATAACCACTGGTTTTAGCAATGGGATGGATTTTAATTCATATATATTACTTACGTGATGAATATGAGATATTTGTTTCATGTATGTTTGAAACATCTTTTCCTAACAGCCCAATATTAAGAGTACCAGTTTGAAATGGTTGCTTATCAAGCAAATAATCATGCTCGTCATCATTATTATCATCACGAGTAAAACATGATACATTCATTTGGTGTTTTGAATGTAATCCTTGTACAACACTACCGCTATTGGTAGAGCTCCGACGTCGAGGTAGGTGAATTATTTTAGGTTCAGTATTATGTTGGTAATTATTGATGGAATTTTTATGTGAAACATTAACAGCCGGTAAAAGTTGACATGGTGAAGTATGGACATTTTTACATGTAACAGAAACTGGTTGACTCTCTGTAGTATTACTTGTGATAATTGTGTTATCAGTAGAAGTGATATTCATTGATGTTAATGTTTTCACTTGATCATATCGACCAGGATGACGAGTAGAAGCATAGGCACGTTTACGAATAAATCGAACTGGCAGTGTATCTGTGTTTACATCTTCAATACTTGACGGATCTATTGTATGTTTTCGAATAATTCGAACAGAATCAAATCCAGACTTTTTAGATGATTCAAATGTGTTTAAATTATGATCGATGGGTTTGATCTTAGTCAGTGTTTTATCAGTTCCTGTCGGAGAATTATCCATCAACTGAATTGAATCAGGTGGGCAAGAGTTTTCTTTACGAGCTTCATTTGATGATAAGAATTCATCTGAGAGTAAATGACTCGTTGATGAATTGTCAAATTCTGAAGTTTAGAAAAAAATACAAGAAAACAATGTTTTCATCAAAGTAGTATCATTTTAAAATAAATATAAAGGATAACCGTTGATGTGTACAATAATGCCAATGAGTACTATCCGTTGCGCTGAACCGAAGTAGGTGAAGCGGACATCGAATATAGGATTTAATGGCTGAAAATCAAATGACTTGACCACTAATTGGATAGTACTAAGTAACTCTCTTTACTTCTGTCAGAAAAGCAGATATTCATACACACGAAACGTTTTAGTTAAGTTCAAAAGGTTCAATAATCAAACAGCGTAACAGTATGATACACTGACGGTCCTGAGTTAACCATTTAGAATCAAGATAACACCATACATTTGTGCGAAATTTGAAGTGCAGTGATAGATAATGTGTATATTATTATAAACTAAGTGAAAATTGACATTATTTGGTTCGTAAAATGCTCAAAATCAATAGAAATATAGATTATGCAACCAATTTAGGATGGTGCTTGAGTTAAATTACAAAACATACCTGCTCTTAAGGTAGGCTGCTTATTAAAGTACTTGATGTAGTTGTCACTACATAATCAAGTATTTAATGAAGTTAGATAATATTCTCTTTTTTTTACTCTTACTTTAAAGCCCGAACTTAAGAATTTCAAGTTTGTAAACGGAAAGATGGCAAGGCATTGCATTGTAACTTATATCAGTTTGTAACGAAAATTCTATAGGGTGATAACTCAAATTCACAACGCTAGTCCAACTCATAAAATATGCAAACTTGACCTTTTTTCTTTACTACAAGGAATAATTTGACATATGACGGTTAATTATTCAGAGCAAAGCCGTTATTCCATTGTTTTATAACTTCGTAAAGTTCCATGACTGACTGATAAATCGCCAAAGGTCGTTAATATGTCGTAATTTTGTTTAAACAGTACATGAATATCGAACAGCGGTATTTTACAAGCGTTGATGGGTTTTTAAACTTAACATAGGAAATAAATTCATCAATCTACGTTAAAGATATACACTAATTAAAAAAAAGAACAAAGGAAAGAAGCCTTATTATTGAAATTTTTTTGTATTTCACAATGGATAGTGTGAAGGAATAATTCACCAAAATAATAAGCCATCAGTATAGATGTGTTTGTGTAGAGTTTGCTGAAGTTTGTACTCCACACCACGAACTGAGCTTAATTAAACTACTCGAGACTACGAAGTAGTGGGTAGCTTTTTCGTTCTACATCGTGGGCACATTGTAGCAGTACATATTCACGACCACGCCAATGAGGATAAGCTCCGAGACCACCAACTCGTATAATGAGCATCTATATTTCAGTTTAGTGCGCTGAGGACCCAATGGTATACATATTTAGTCCTAATGAATTCTTGATATATTGCAACCATTATCCAATCTTATTGGTGGACACAAATGCTTCACTTCAAATATGATTGAATTTCAACTAGTCAGTGTGTTGTTGAAGAGTTATATACTAGGCCAAAACATTTATCCAGTGCTCCTTGATAGGCAATGGTTATCTAACCAAAGTTAGCTCGTGATATTATTAATAAATATAAGCTAATGGTTATTTGTTTGTGTTCAACCAAATCAGCTGTTTCACCGAATATCATCATATGACTGTTTATTCAATGAGAAAATGTGTCAATCTCTGATATAGCGAGCACGATGGCATTAACACAAACACGTATACATAGTGATTGATGCATATAGAGAACAATTAATTAACCAGAAAATAAGCTAATAATCAAGCATGCACTCACCCACACACGCACATACAAACTTAACACATACGAAGATCAATAAAGTTTATTGATTGCACCAAATCGTAGCAAGAAACACAAACTCAGTGCATAATAAGTAAATATACGCGCGAACTTTATAAGCAGTGATGATGCAAGTAAACAAAAAGTAGTACGGACAGTGTAATAGATACACACATGATTCATACAAACATACAAACACACATAGAGATTACACTCAAATGTTAAACAACAGATTAGGCTGTTGAATGTATTTATCCTTAACAAAGACAAATTCGTTGAAGTATATAGTAGAGGTGGGATATTACTGACAATGTGTTTGTAGGCCATAATTTTTGCGATTTCAAAAGAAGATCTACCCAGAAAGCATCAAAGTTTATAAGCAAAGCAGAAACTATAAACAGTCCTTCTTTGAAGAGTAGAATTATTTATTACAATCATTACACACTAACAACGCTTGGCATACGAGAGTTTGGGATTGTTTCCCGGCACTTAAACCCTGAAACAACCAGTTGCCACACTTTGCCCCCAAATGCTCTGGTACGATCTACAGGGAGGAGTTATCTTCACCTCTCCAAAGGCTCTCACATGATAATGCGTACGTACCCACTGCCATACAAGTCCTACTAATTACATTCTCATGACTGTGGTGTTCTTTACGAAATTGAGAGGACGAAAATCCAATGTCCGGTCACGGCTTAAACCGGGGTGATAAATACGACGGAACATACACCTACGGGGTTCGAAAACTCTTATCCTAAAACAATCGTATACATGGGATCCAGCATTCTGAGAGAACAAATGAAGTATCAACTTGTTGTTGGTCACCGACTACCATGGGACTGCATCTCCTAACGTTGCTCCACTACAGTGTGTATCAGAACTCTGGATCGAAGGCTTTGGGAGTGCCTCTGTAAGAAAACTACCTGCTTCGGTTTTTGCACGCATGCAGTATCATAGCCCTCACACAAACTGAATGATTTGTATGGCACAATTGTATTTAGTGCCTACTTGTACCAATGTCTATGTGTTCAAACAATATGTTTAAATAATAATAGTAATAATAATAACATCAGGAGAGAAGTATTGTTATAAATGAGTAGACTATTAACATGATCCAAGATGAATGTGACCTGTTCCTCCTCAAATTAATTCACTAATATTGGAGATTTTGTAGTCACTGAGTTAGATGACTTGGTTGTGAAACTTTCATTGTTCTTTTCAACATCATTATCAGCACGTAATACAGTGAGAAGTGAGCTATCAAAATTTCTGTACAACAATCTTTTATTCAATCGTAGGGAAATTCTAAATGCTCACTTCCCTTCGAAGTACACACTGATAATGTTATTCAGAGGGATAATAAGAGCTTCAGAACCAAACTATACAGTACATCAGAAAACAAAACATCTTCATCCTGAGCTTCATGTTCTTCTAGTGAATTAATAAAACCCTACTGACGATAAATATACTATCATCCCTCATTAGTTTAACATAACCCTTACTCATATAAGTGATTGTAATATGAATAGAGCATTGTGTTTTTAACACATCTTACTACTTATTAATACTTATTATTGAGAGGACACATTAGTAATTGCAAAAACAACACCGAATCATGAAAAAAGTAATCTGGTTAAAGTTATTTATTTATCCAACTTTAAAGTTAGTTGTTCACATGGTCAATTGGGAATAGTCACTCTAATCTTGAAGAACATAATAATCTTGTTAGATTGTTGTTATAATGAAGGTGATATTCAATTAATCTTTCAAACTGTCACAAAAGCATAGCTAAAAGCAACTATTATTGTTGTTATTATTATAGATGTAAAACTGTACCAATTAAATATTTCTAAGCACGAAGTAGTCGACAAGCTAGAACTGCTATAACCCATTGCTTACGAATGTGTGAAATAAGTTTGATTGTAGAAAATCAATTTGATGGCTTTCATTGTTTGGAGTTAGAATTTTGTTACAAATTAAGAGCCTCAATTAAATTCATAGAAAAAAAGTGTTTGCATTTGTTCTGCAGTAAAATATACAGATAATTGCTAATGACGATACTGTGCGACAACCTTTCATTGTCTTCGGTTGGTAACTGCCTCAAACTCAACACGATTGAACTTCATTGGTCACGGCTTCTCACTAAATCGTCTGAAATTTCCTCTCGAAGATAGTCATTAGTCGGGACAAGTTAAGTGTCAGTATAAGGTTGTGGAGATTGCTGAGTTTCATTGAATTCATGAACTGATCTAAGTTAGGTCGTTATTGAAATACAGAAAGTACTGAACAGATGTTTCATCCTAGTATGGGACTTCTCAACAGTGAGCATCCACGACTCCATATACAGGAATCCAACCCCAAAACTTCGGTCTCGCACGCGTACGCTTAACCTGTAAACCACTGGGCTGTTATCCAACAGTGTTAATGTCTAATTCTAATCAACCGCCGTTTATGATTTCAGCGAAATTCCATAATCTCCGTAATCGTATCTTCACAATTATTAATCAATTTATAGGTATAAGTACCAAGGTTTGACTTAGTAATTTAATTTCCGCATTTGATAAAAAGTGAATATTCACTCTAAAGAAGTGACTTTCAGTGAGTCATGAAAAACCAGAAATTCGAATTTCTATGCACTGGGACATTGACAAATTTATTATTATTTTATTATTATGGATGATTTTGTTGTGATGCACGGTGTCCAGAAGCTGATACTGATACACACCCTACCATAGAAGACTTTAATTACTGGAGTGGTATGATGAAGAGTGAGGAAGAAATTTTATTTGATTAACCGAGTTATATATATATGTGTACTCGATTGTATATATAAACAATAAATTGCTAATGTACACATTCGATTTGTTAGACAGATTAATTGATTGAAAGAACAATACCATGTTACAGAAATAAAATGAGTTTACACAGATATATACAGTAAAGTTAGTTTATAAATATTAGTACATTCAAATAAATCATTAAATCATTGAGCAACTGGTGAGAAAACAGCTTCATGTGTTATGTAACTGTGAATAACACTGACTTGTTTAGAACGACAGTTTAGTTTAGAATAAATTTCGAATATGTGAAATATAAAGAGTTAAACTGTATGATTTTAGCTTTGTCAGCGGGGTATAGATTGGATTAAAGTATGTTCCGTGCAGGATTGTGCTAGAGCATACTGATTGATTATTTCTTTTTAGCCAATCAACGCTAGTGAATGCTTGAAGAAGACGTTAGAATTTTCTTCTGTAAAAATTATAAATATTATATCGTTTCTCTTATTGTGATCATTACTTCCATCTAACTGTTTTACTTGGAATACCTGGTTAAGGTATAGTAATGGCGAGTTTGAGACAATGGGTAATCTAGCTCAAATCTGGTAGCAATAGAGACGTGTATTTAACTCCTATATTTTCTAAGATCGTGAGAGTTCATAAATTAATTCATATTATAAGGTAGTGTGTTGGAAACTCGGTGTATTCATTTTCATTCTTCCTCGAAATCTTGAATGTGTAATGAACAGCTCACGCTTTACACTTGATGGTGTCCATTCATTTACATCCGACTACATATTTTTATGCTTCATTGTCATATTTACTGACCATAAATTTATTTGAACTTCGTTTTGAAACATAATAAATAATCTTTTATTATCCCAACGTGAAATATAACAAACTTCCACCTGTATATTACAGATCTGCTGTTATTTCTAACGTAATTCAATGAATTTGGATGAAATTCCAAAAATTTAACATTGAATTATTTATTTATTTAAACACAGACATTGGCACAATGAGGCATCAAATATATATGCGCCACATAAATCATTCAATTTGTGTGAGGCCTGAGATACTTTTCGGGTGCCCAAACCTAGACAGGTAGTTTTCTTAGGGGATCACACCCGGAGCCTTCGACTTAAAGGTCGGGTCCAACAAGGAAGTTGAGCAACATCAGGAGATGCATTCCCATGTTAGCCGGTGACCGAAGTTTGGTTCATACGCCATTTGTTCCTTCAGGATTCTGGAACCTATGTGAACCATTGATTTGGAATGAGGGTTTTCCAACTCCCTTAGGTGAACTCTCCGTGTCCACCAACCCAGTTAAAGCGCCGGACATTCGCTTTTCGTTCTCCCAGTTTCGTAAACAAAACCCCTGCCACGAGAAGACAACGAGTATGACTTCCCTGGAAGTGGTTGTACGCACGTGACCATGTGAGAGCCTTTCGAGAGGGAGGGACGACCCTCCCCACTCTCAGCCGTACCAGGGCATTTGGGGGCGAATTTGTTCGTGCATTTGAAAAAATATAAGGAACAGTATATCCATATATGGAAAAAGAAGTAATCTTTCACGAAAACAATAATAATAACTTTTAAGAAAAAAAAGATATTTACCGGATTCTTGAAGTTGTGACAAAACTGGATGCAATAAATTGTTAGATAACTTGTCCAATTTCTTAATTTCTTGACTATCAAACAGCTTTTCACAATTATTACTATTACCAGTGTTGGCAGTAGTATTAGTAGTAGTATTAATAGTAGTTCGAGGTTTGGGTGTCGGTTTATTCAACTGAGAGATTGGAACAACTGACGACTACAAATTGTAACGGATGAAAAAACACAGACAAAATTGGTTAGAAATTAGATAGAAATGTATAGTATTTTGACTGATTAACGAATAAATGTTGTTTTGTGATTGAAATCGAAGGTAAATGTTGCTAGGAAATAAACTGATAAGAACTTCAAATAAAGCTTAATAAGTTCATTGGTGCATAGATACGTTCAAAGTGATGTTTCTATATGTTGAGACCATAAAGAGAGCAATGTCGAAGTCAGATACAGAGTTCTACGTACAAATGGCAGATCAGTTGATGAAACCGTGGAACTTTATAGACAGATGTGACTGGGAAATGTGTTATGTATGCCTAACAACTACCTACCCATATGCGAGACGAATGCTAGAGGTCAGTCTAAGACATAGGATCAGTCCATGAAGTCACCAACAATTGGACTGAACCCTGTTGGTAGTTGCAGATTACCCAGTTGAAGTCCGAATAACTATTGTGATCTATAGTTATAGACGTTGGGGTTAGATGGCTTAGAGTCGGTTACAGCTGCGGAGATGGGCTCACTACTTATTTTCTTGTAAACCTTGGGTTTTTTGTTTTGAAAACTTATTCTTTCTTCTTGAATCATACTACTTATGTCTATTTTTTCCTACTACCACCAGTACTGTTACTTCTCCTGCAACTCAGGCGTTTGGAGTAATAATTTCTGTTCGATGTTGTGTGTCAACTTGGACTGATGCACGAAGTGCCAGCTACTACGTAGCTTATGATTGAAGTGTAATGAAGATCTGTACAAATGAGATAAATAAGTATAACAAACACATTTACTCTGAAGAATCTTTGATATCCAATAATATGCGAAATATATGCCATATTCAATGGCGATCTACGTCACGCACACGATTTATTTATTTATTTATTCAAACACATAAACATTGGTACGAGGAGGTATCAAACAGATATAAACCACATAAATCATTCGATTTGTGTGAGGGCTGGGATACTGTCCCGGTACCCAAACCGAAGCACACACATAAAATACCATCTAACTGTAAATGCATGTATACTTGAAAGAAAACTAAGCAGAAAACCTGTAGTAGACTTTAAGTTAATAATGCCCATTTTATTGTACATACAAATAAACTAACCAGTTCCAGATACCGTAGGGTTAATAAACAGTAAAATAACTTCAAACTATATGATTTCAGGAATACATCGTTGATGACAATTATCAACTTTTAATATTTGGATTCACCATGAAAACTACCAAACCAACTTTGAACCATGACCAAGGATGATACAAGAGACGCGATGCTGATAACATGAAAGATCTTGTAGTATAACCCTGCAAATGCTTGAGGTGAGCTTTGGACAACGAATGAAACTAGGTATATATTGTACAAGGATCTATTGCATGCTGGTATATGGCTGTGAGATGTAGACAAATGTAAGTGATTTGTAAGCTTTAGTAATATAGCTAAGCTTCAACCAATCACAGTACGCTGAATTCACCTTCTCTGTTAACTTTGAATAAACATTTAATGAATCACTCCATGTTCTTCTTGCTTATTTTAAGGTTTTTCCACTATCTCCTTTTAAGACTCTCCTTCATTTTGATGCCGTTGTAACGTGCTGGTATGTTAAATTTATCTAGTGTAAAGTTGCGAAACGGGAGGGGGGAGCGGTAAGATAATAAATAGCTATAACATGAACATCTTATAGCAACACTCCTACAATCAATTTTAATTACGGTAATTTTGTCAAACCCTTTAATTAATTTATTCGACAGTGTTATTTGAACAGTAGCAGTTTGTCTATCTCTTTGTATTATTATGACCACTATCATGTCTGTATAAACGTGTACATTAGATCACATGTGAGTTTACGTACATATTCCCCACTTTACCTTAAATGTTGATCGCTTAAATATCGCTCGACGAATCATTCTCTTTACCATATATATTTCAATCTTATTAATTTCTGCCTTGCCTCACTTCGCCTCGATGCCATTTGACTCTGAAACTGCTTCTGTATTCGCTTGCTTGTGTGCATTATTCTCTCAGCTCAAATTCGCTCGATGCGCTTTGAACTTCTTTACCTGTGCTATCCAATAATAAAATGTAGTCATCGCTTTGTATTGCCTTCTGAATTCATACACCGTTGGGATTTACCTAATAACAGTTACCGGGGTAATTGATAAACGAAACCTAAGGAAATATCTCGAAGCCAAGCCACTACAATCTAAAACGCAGTGTAAATTATTGATAACATTAGTATGATACTACTACCAATCAGATATTAGAAATAAAATGATGACAGAATATGTTCTAATCTAATAAAATAGTAGAAAATCGGCTTCTATAATCAAATAGTCAGTCAGTCACAACGTGGAGCCTGTATGTATGTACATCGGCGCAAGTTGCCATACTCCATAGAGAGATGGAATCATAAGACCAAATCCCAGAATGCTAGAGGTAGTAAGAGTATTAGTGGTAATAGGGAAGATTAGGCATCAATGATACGATTCAAGGAAAAGATACAAATTAGTGAAATAAAAACGAGACAAGAAGTTGAGGAATTCAGCATGTCAAAATTTGAGGGAAACCAAAGAACAGACCACAACTCTCTACTACTTACATTTCATAATAACTTTTCCGTTTTACACACAACTATGAGACATCATCATCAACAACAACGCATTACTGAATGGATTAATTAGACTTATTATGTAAAGTATTCACTCAAGAGGCTAAAAGACTTACAGTACAGTCAGGTGAAATCTTCATTTCATCTTTATGAACATCAGTAGTAATAGTAGTAGTATTACTAGCATTAGTAGTGTATAAAAATGCAGAATTGGAATCTTTCAAAGACATATTTTGAATACCATTAACGATATTAGATGAAGTCAATATTTTAAGCGGTGATAATTCACTAATTGTATCAGTAATTGGTTGGTTAGGAACAAGAGATTTATGTAGTAATGTAAGCTGAATATTTCGATCGCTGAAACAAAAGATTTAAGATGAATTCAATAATGATAAAAAGAATAAAAATAAAGTTTAAGTACATATATATATTAGTCGCATGTATAGTCACTTGGATTAGTGACTACAATGTAACTTGATTGACAGACGTCGATGAGCAGCACACTAAAGGACCAGACAAACATTGAAATGATCATTACTAAATGATCGAACCATAGTAAATACCTCAGTATTATTATGGTCAGTCGCTATTTGAGTTGCCCAGTGGTGATATCTTAAACTGTGCAACCGAGTGATCTACGTTCGAATCCAACATGAAGCATTAGTTCCCTAGTGATAACAAGTACACCTCAGTGACGAGTCTCAAATAGCATAAAACCGAAATAGAGCAAGGCTTTCTGTAGACTACCTTCAACCACTTAGCAAATTCAATTAATGGTTTTAATATTGCATATTTTGTTATTGTGACGACGGACCACGGGTGAACTCAAGGAAACTGTAGGAGGCTCAGAAGGAGCCGAAGATATTCTATCCAATCACTTTTTAAAAGAAAATTCTAGAATTCCTACACGTAGCTTCCCGATTGGACAATGCTAATAACCCCCTGTATGCGGATCGGAGGACTGTAATGATGATTTCGTTCTCACTAAAAACTATAAATACCCGACAATTTTGTACTATAATTGACACTGTCTGGGAATAATATTCCTTTCATTAGTTTTCTGTCTTCTCATTGCGGCTTGGAGGGGTTCTGGCCTTCTAGTGACCACGTTATACGCGGTATATCAGGAACAACCTTCTAGATATAACAATTGGCGACGTGGTAGAAAAAGAATTCTGAACCCTCAATCTTCAACGTCAGCCTGTAATTGGACGAAATTCAGTCAATTATTTCGAGCAATCAGCATTCAGATTTGTCATCGGTGTCCTTAGAAGACGCTGATTGTTAATTTATCATATAGTATTTCTCATTACCGTGCTGATTCAGAAAATGGTTATCTCTTCCGATCAATTACAGTTGCTATTTGAGAGACAACGGCAGCGTTTCAAAAATAGCCAGCTGAATGTTTTAGACAATTTACGCACACGGCTGCTAAATCATCCATGTTTTGGAGATGTGACAGAAGTTGACAAACTAATTTCTAACTTGCATACAGAGCTGGAAAATGACCACAAAACCTATGAATGTGTCGATAAAAGCCTCTATGAAACCTTGACGATCAGTAATGTAAGCGAAGCAGTAGCAGTCATTCACCATCCTCCCAGCGGTCCAGAAATGTTCATTTCAGAGACATGCCCTGTCACTGATTTAAATCCCAATGCCCACGAAGAGACAGAAAATGAATCAAGCAGCATAATGCAGACAGTGGAATTAGATAGAGCTCATCATTCCAGAACAAAAGGTTCTGATGAATCTACTTATTGGAGTTCTCTAGTTGTTTTATCAAATATGAGTTATTCTAATGACTCATCTGCTTTTGATCAAATTTGTTACAAAAATGAGGAAAATTTGTCGGATGCACCAAACGACGATCAAGAACCTAATGAAATTTTGATAGATGCTGATTATTCTAGTGATCGACTGTCTACTAATTAGATTTCCAAGAAATTCGATAACAATGTTCCAGAAGAATCAAACTTTGATGACCTCATATCAAGCGACGTTGATCCTTACCATTTAATCACCTTTAGTAAATTCTCTGTTCAATGTGACAAATAAGTTTTAAGTAAAGTCAAATTACTTGTAACTTGAGAGCATGAGGATCCAACAGTTTCGTGAGGGAGGATAAACTCAGAAAATTTAAAATTCAGATCTTCAAAAAAGGGGAGGTGTTATGTCCCGATAAGCATAATGAATGGTAACTTTCGGGATCCATTTATGGACCAATACTATGCGTATATTTTTATCGTACGGTTGTTAAATAACTAAACTATTCATACTCATTTCCCTCTTATTATGAGCTTTATTTTAACTTATGAACTGTTATTATACGATTTACTATTCTTGAATTATGACCTGTCCATTAATTACTACCTCCCACATTCACAGACACATTTGGCCAAACCTTGTATAAATGTTGCTTCCTACTTTATTGGTACGATGTGGTCTGTCTGGTTGGTACATAAACCCCGTATGTTTGAAAGTAAATGATTCATATTACAGAGGCTGGGATTGGTGTTCTGGATACAATTGGCTGGACTAGGCGGAAAGCAGGACCAATCAGGACTCTAGGCTGCTCGCACGTGTTTTATGCGTCACTGATACGGTCGATAGTTCGCTGCTCTCTGATTGGCGATATCGTTGCGCTATCCAATATACAGGACACAGGTTCACAAGTTATAATAGTTATGTAAAAAATCAACAACTCATAATTACTGACTGGAAATGACATGAGTAAAAATGTGAAGTCATTACAAAAACGAGTCAAATATAATAAAGTTTTTCTTGCCAAACAAAAACACAAATCTATACTATAAATTGAGAATGAGATTAACAGACACTTGACATTATTCTGAACAGTTTAAAAGCCTAACCGCCCATTGAACTGTTCGAAAGACCTGAATATTACAAAGTGGTGAATACGAGATATGTAGAAAAGAAAATTACAGCGGTGTAAATCCGATAGTGTATGATTTGTAATAGCTATATTCAACTGATATATTTATACACGAAAGTAAACTTTCCAGAAAAACTCAATGGGTTCAAACAACTGATTTCGAGTACAACCATCATTCTATATAAACAGTAAAATGTATTGCGTGCAACTAAGGCGCGTTAAGTAATCAACAGTCATACTCAACTAACTAAAGTGGAAAATACTTATCTTTAACTCGGCAACGATCATCACATTGTTTACAACGAAACTTGTTAAGAGATTATTAAAGTATTGAGTCTCGATTGGTTCTTTGTAGTAATGTATATTAGAGGGATATTTGCGAATTTACGTGTTTTGTGGCATGAAACAAACGTATTACACTGAAGATATCACAATACACTACTGTGTAACTCAAATTAGTACTCACAACACTGCAGAAACTTAAAGCATATAGTTTGACACAAAGTACTAGAATTATTCAGTGGCATGTTCCATAGCAATCCTCTCGTGTCAGTTTAGAACGGCCATGACAAGTTGGAAACACCGGTTCTCGTTCGATCACCAAAGTTAAACAACGTTGGACCCGGTCAGTACTTGCATGATTAACCGGCTAGGAACATCGAGTGTCACGGTCTGTCTTTACCCCTAAATACCCTGGTAAGACCAACTGTGTGGAGGGTTCCCTCTATCTCTCTAAATGCCCTCATGTGCAAAACCATATATAGCCACTGCTAAGGAATTCCGAATCACTGACTTCTCGTGGTTGCAGTGTTACTTACGAAATTGACAGGACAAAAAGACAATGTCTAATAGCGGGTTAAATGGAGTTATTGTGTACGGACAACATATCCAAGACAGTTGCAAAATTTTGATTCCAAACTAATGTTGTACATGAACTACAAAATCCTGGCAGGGCAAATCGAGTATGAAACTACTATTGGTTACCAGTTATCATGGAACAACGCTCCACTACCTTGTTGATTAGATATCTATGTCAAAGGGTTAGGAAGTGGCCTCCGAAGAAAATCACCTGCTTCGGTTCAAGCACACTGGTAGTATTCCATTCAACACGCAAATTCAATTATTTGTGTGGTGTATATATATTTTGGTGCCTCTTTGTACTAATGTTCATGTTTAAGTAATTAAATAAATAAAATAAGACTTAATAGATTGAAGCTTAATGTGCCAACAATTAAATATAATCGACAAGTACACATTAATTAAACCAAAAGTAAGCAGCTACCACCCTTGGCCTTTACATTACCCAACTATTTTAATTAACTGTATTATTCTATACAGCAATCCAGTTCAACATAAACGTTACCGTGTGTATAGTTAATTGGATAAAAGAGAATAATGAAAAGACTTTCATTTTCATTTTTAATGGATTGGGATTATCCCGTTGTTGATATTTTGATTGGATTTATTCTTCTTAGTTTTATTAGGCATATGTCTATCTTGTGTCGGATAAGCCTGATAGATTTTATTGCTAAATACAATTCAATTTAATATTTTATAAAAATTAGAAGCTTTATTTTTAGCCTATGTAATCGAGATACCGATCAATTTAGCTTTCAAATTTATCTTATTGGAATTCAGTTGAAACTGTTCTATGCTAACAGAAATTGACTTGTTAATTTAAGCAATTGAATAAAGTATACAGAATGTGTGATTATTATAGAATTTCCAGTTTTAAATCATGAATAAATCTTGTTGAGACTATTATTGGATGAGGGTTGTCCAATGTCGTGGATTGGTTAAAGTTCGACAGTAACGCAGTGGATCCTAGTTTGGTGGTCTAGGGATTAAGTGTTCGTGAGCGAGAGTGAAAGTCCTACGTTCGATTTCCGAATGCGGGATCGTGGGTGCCCATTGTTGAAGAACCCCATACTAGGATGAAACGGCTATCTAGTTACACCAGTCTTCCAATGGTGGTCTAAGATCAATTCGTTATTTAAAACTGTGAAAACCAAATTAAGTATTGCAAACACATCCTATTTGAAAGAACATTCTATAACATTATAGTATCAAAAGACCAAAGAGCTAGAGATGAGTGGTTGTGTAGTAAACCAACACTAAAAATAGGCAAAAAAATGAGTAAAGATCAGTTAGTCAGGATAAGATTACTGATTAAAATATAATGACCCAACCAAATGAAAGGAGTTGAACGAAAGTTCATGATGTAATGAAGACTTTTAAATATGACGAGTTGTGTAAGCGGCTGACGAGAGCCCACATAAATAAAATGGATTTATGTTGGTCTGCTCAAGTGCTTGTTCACGCTGTATTCATTTATGTTCAACTGCTTAACTTCGAACTTAACCATGTCTTATTCTTGTCCTTACGTAACGAGCTGCTATAATTAACCGACTATGTGACCTCGATTTTAGAGTTCATTTTGCACCCGTTCAGTCAATGACTAATTCCTATCTTTAGAGAAACTATTGAGATATAATGTTAACTTCACATACCGGTATTTATTTTGTAATGATTTGATTTAGAACTGTGAAACTTAGATATATTTGTGTAGAGGAGCCAAATAAAAAATAAGGTCTCTTCACTCGACTTGTATATTCACACAACCAGAAAATTAATATTAGCAGTAGAAGTGGTAGTAATAATAGTTTACGGAAATTGACGTCGGTAAACGAAACGCATGTTCCAATTGGATTCGATAATAATGAAATAATAATAATAATAATAATAATAATAATAATAATAATAATATCGTAATGCAGAAGCCATTGAATTTCGACTGACAATAAAATCCAGGAAGCATGTTTTTCTTTCTGCTTGTGACAACTTGGTGGTTAGATGTAAGTGCAAAGCAATACTAACGAAAAACCCACTTATTTGAAAATTAATTATACGACTGACTTTGCTAGCAACCATTACGCACACCAAATGTATATTGTACGGTGTGGTTTGAGGTAGTCGACATCAAACCCTACTTGACCTAGGTTTCGTGCTATTTGGCACTCATCAATAAGGTTTACCTGTATTATTGAGGAAGATGATGTTCCGTATGGGATTCAATCCCATGTCTTTCAGGTTTAGAATTAGAAACGTTACCACTGAGTTATTAGGACCGTGATAGACCTCTTAGAGGACTGAGATATATTTACGATTGACTGATCACTGAGTAGTGACTAATATCATGGATGTGAAGTCTTTTTTAGTGCCAGTAGGTAGAATTAGATTAGTATTAAGAAGGGATCGACATACGTTGCACTAGTCACTACTCAGTGAACAACCACTTGGAAATGTGAGTATCAAGCAAAGACTTCGCAAGGCTTAACTTTCGATTAAGATTGACTTCAATTATTGACATCAATTTGGTTAGATACACAAACAACAATCAAATAAGAAGCTTTAATACTAATTAAAGCTTCCATCTAGCTGTACAAATAATTGACAAAGTTATTATATTTCTTAAGCAATCAGTAAATGCCACGCAACGAATAGAAAGAACTAACCTGCCACTTCGGAGGAAATTGGAAACTTCTAAGAATGTCATAGATTTCACAGGTTTCTGATTAATGGCAACAATCCGATCACCTGTTCTTAAGCCAGATGCCTCCGCCGAACTGCCTCGAGCAACTTTAGTCACTAGGGCAGTGGACTCGTATGGTTTACCTGTAAAAATTCCGATTACCAAAATGGAAACGGGAGTTTATTTATTAGACAGATAACCAGACAAATAAACTAGATGTTGAAGGTGCATTAAAATCACGTAGGTCAGTCAGTAAGTTATCACCAATGTAGATATCTGGCACAGATATGCATCGGCGCATTTCCATACAAGATTAACACGACGAGAACATAAAAAGATGAACAGTAAAAAAATGTTGAGATAATGCAGCAGCAGTAATAATGAGAGAACTGGATGTTAGGAATTTGGCTCTAAAAGACAGTGGAAAGGTGTGTGTGAAGGAATATTGGAATTCAAAATCGAGAGGAAAATAAAGAGTGAATGGATTTACACCACTGTGAACGGTAATAAGGTATTTCAACTAAAGTCCTCAAACACAAATCGCAGTTAATGCATGGACCAAAACCAGACAGTCTGCATTTACCAACATGGCTCGGTTCAAAATTTAATGAATTCGAAGACCAATTCCACGTCACATCTTAGTTTAACCTCTATTGGCTTTTTTACAACGTCCTTCTACATTAGCTAGCATAGACCATCTAGGCAGTCAGTATTTGGCAGATGTAACGAAAGTCCTAACGACCTCAGTCGATGAAAATTAACAACTCCACCAACCGACGCCCCACTTCTGCTTAGTACCTCATGTCTAACTTCAACATTTCTGACTCGGTTATCCCATCGAGCGCGAGTAGTGTTTCGAAAACATTTATGATCAAAAAGCTTTAGCCTACATGTCTTTTACATTTAAAGACCATGTTCTACGAGTATAAAATAATACAAGGTGTACTATTTCTCGGCATAAATCCTTTGGTTGGCAAGCAGATATCTCATATACTACACAAGTGACATAGAATGGTAAGCGCCATCTAAACTTACGAACCCATGCTAAGACTACATCAGACACCAACCCACCAGGGCCGATAAGACCTTCAAGATAAATGAAGTGGTCACCGCACCCACCAGTTAATTTTATCAGTCACATAGACTTCCTTTGGAACTTGATAACCTGAACATGAAAAAGACCTTTTACGAACGTTTAAACAAAAAGTATTTATATCGTTAGCCTTGTAGAATGGGTACAAAGAGAAACATATGTTGGCTTTGGCAAAATGATTTGACCACTCGTCTTTTGGCAACTGAGTGTCCAAGCCCTATCCCATTCACATCAGTTGGGGTAAAGAACACGAATCATAACAGACGAAGTGAAAGCGAAGGTGATTCTGAACTACTAACTGAGGTAATACTTGACCAGAAATTCAAACAAGTATATCTTCACCTGAACTTAAGACCCCATAACTTAACAAAGAGAAATAGTGATTCCGAATGATACATTGATTCTTTCATTGAATAATATAGTATAGTTACCAATCAGGAAGCTAAAGAGCATAACAACCGTCACTGAGGAAACGGGATTATAATTTGAAGAGTTTAACAGACCCCTCTGATGAAAAGCGGTCGACTAGTATGAAATGGAGTCTAGTAAACAGTGAACTTAATGTCAGTGACCAATGTAATATAATGAAGAAAAAACCGAACAGAACAAGAATTGCTTGAATAGATATCTACTAAACATTCAGTTCTGACAACTCGATCGAAAATCATTTTGCTAAACCAGAGCGCAAAAACGCTGGTCGAATGAGGCAATAAACGAACCGAATTTACTAGTCAGACTTCACGTTATTGCTTGCTAAGCACTTTTGAAAGAACCTAGTTAGTGAGGTGTGAAATCTACACGCTAAAGAAATACAGAAGACGAACGATTCGTGATTCAAGTCTTGAGGACATTTTACTCAAGCTTTACTGTTTCGCGTCCTCAATTTACTAAAAACAAAAGTCCACCAAACTCACCTTCATCTTTTAATGTAAACCCCAATCCGAACGGAGTCTTTTCAATGACAATAGACATTGGTATATCCATTGTGAGGGAATAAGTTCACTTTATTATGACAGCTGCATGTCTCCGAGTTAAATTATCAGAGAGCATCAGTAAAATTCAAACTACATGCCATGTGAGAAGAGAATATCCAAATCAAAGAACCCGCTTATTTACAACACCATCTATTTCCACGTAAGTCAAGAGAAGAGTAAGCAGTCAGAAAAGAAAGGATGAAAAGTTGTCGTTTAGGCATTTGACGTCGATTTCAAAAGCTTTTCCAATATTCTTGGATTATCGTTCCTCGATTTGTAGGGTCACTACTCAAGGTTCTATATCGTAAATTGGCAAGTGTCTTTGGGACTTATTACTCCTTACCTGTGCAGTTTCTCGTTAAGAAAGGATCTCAACTTGCATTTTTCCCACTTTGAGTTTCAGAATACTGTTTTTACCTTGAATACCTCTATTTCATAGGAAGTGGGGTGGGCAGTTAATGTTATGAGAATTGTGAGGATGGTTAACATGAACGTATTTTGTAATTAGTTTTTACTATTATTTGCATTTTTCCTTGATTTCGCATAACTCGTACAATTATCATTGTTGACTGTAAAACTGCTATTTTGAAAAACTTAACCATCATTTTCCGTTCCCGTTTTGTACTCCCATAACATGACACATCGATTATCGCTTAGAAATACACTGCTGACCATATTTACTTCTTGTTCTTATATGTCAGCTGTCACGATAACGGAACTCCGATATAACTGATGCCTAGGTTCGCAGGTCACAACGATATCCTCAATACGCGATTAATCTGGATACACATTTTGTTTTATATCAATCATATTAGAAACCACTGATCACTTATAACTGTAGAGTATGAGACTGAGAAGGAACTCAAACACTACTCCTTCTGAGAAATTGAGTGATCTCATGTGTTTTCCTTGGGTATAATCTATATTTTGGTGTATTAAAAAACCACCCTTTTTAATTATATAAGACCTTCAGGCGTCATAATTTTTCTGGATGAAGATCCTTCAACTCCCGGGGCAGAGTTTAAATGATTTAATTTGTTTATTCTGACTGGCACTTAATCAGTAAGGTTGCTTTTTAAGGGGTGAGGTTGATGACCTTACGCCCAGCCTTCTTCATTTGCCCGGACTTAGGACCGGCAGCGACCCTAGAATAGCTACAGTCGAAGCTTTTTTAGTGAAAAGTTTATCACTATCTTGGAACTTATATTTTTACTCCGCCACGTAACTTTGAAAGTAACAGTTTATGTACGAAAGAAATGGATAGTTGACGCGATCAGTAATAAATCCAAATGTTGTTTGAATTATCTATTAAATCCACTAAAATTTGCATTTAGATTCATCCGCCAGCTTTCATGTGCTGCATATCCTGAGGAATACGAAGGCGGTAGTATGAGGACGGTTAGTATTTTGATGAGGTGACGTGTTCGCATAAATAGGGTTTCCCAATAGACATGCACAGTTGAGTATAATAATTATCTTCAGTCGGTTAATTTCGCAAGACGAACGGTATCGATGTTTTGGTCACCTGAATTGCATATTTATTTTAGGGCGTTGAAAAACTAAATGGTAGATTGATTATTGTTATGAATCCCGTTCAAGTAAGTCGAATAATTTTGGTTTCATACAAAAATACTGTCATAAATTTCAGTGGTTAACCGAACATTCGTAACAACGGGTTAATGACCCGCTCAGTTGTCTGTCTATAAGAGAAACCTCACGAAACAGATATCAGTAATAGTAAAGTGGGACTAATACAATCCGCTGTCTATTCATAATAGAAGTCATCTGTAGAGGTGAATAAATACCCTAATTGAATATCTTTGTGAATTTTATAACATCGACTCTGGCCTCACTAATTTGTACTAAACTGAAAGCTGTCGATCATGCATCCGCTTCAGGTCACTATTGAGCACGCTGTGCTACGCATCCTTCGCAAAGAAAAGCCGACGTAGATCATATCTTTCTAGACATATCGGTAAACCTCCAAACCTATCTTTGAACTCCATTCCTGACTTCTGGTTTGACTGGCTTTGTGATCTTTTAATTATGGTGTTTCGAGTAAAAGCGTTGTCGAACCCTGAATATTCGAGCTATGCCCTGATTACGGTACGTTTGGACTTTGCGTTACGATACCACGTTATCTAATGTAAAGTGTTTAAATATCGTTGAAACCTGTTATGTAACTCAAAAATGGCATTAAAATCAACACTTATGGCAAAATGGGTGGGCTGTCAACAAACAAGCCAGGGAAGCCCTTATCCTTCAGACAACAACAATCTCGTTACTACCTACACCCCATGTTCTGTAACTCTTTTTGAATCAAATAACGTTGGGAGCAGACGTATATGACACCTGCTGCTGAATGACCCAGTTTCTGATTTAATAATGAGTTTTACTTCAATATTAAAAAGTACTGATAATATTAAGTGAGAATTAGACATTATCTATAAGCAATTAAGCGATATGCGTTCTAAATTGGAATCGCTTGCGGGCTATCTATCAAAGCATGACGATCTTAAGCAAGAACCAAAGACACTATCGCTCCTTAAACTGCTACTGTCGAAGGATGTAGTTCCTGTGGAACTTGAAAACATTATCAAAGTAGGGTCTGTTATCGATTTTATCGCTGGCGAATTTACTAAGCGAATAATCTCTCGAAATAACGTGAGTATCCATAGAATGCTCGACAAAATCTCCATTAAATCTGCAAGGAATCAGATTTAAAAACAGTGAGTTTCCAAGACAGTTCATGCCAATCTATTCGTCTTAATAAAAAGCACCAGAAATGCACGTGCTCTGTCTTATTTAGATTCAATTCCCACCTATTAGCTGAATAGTTGAAAGAATCCGAACGGGTAAACTGCGCGCTTACGAAGCTTAGGAATACCTGCATAGTCTCAGATAAGACCACCGATGAAACAGACAAAAGCATGTCTTAAACGAAAATAACTCTGTTGAGATTACAACAAATCCCGTTGCCTCAGCAGCTGGATCCACTGATGCAGCTAACTTATCTCATGCTAAACGGTGCTCTAATTTACCAATGAAGAGTGATGATTAGCCTCTTCTGTCTTCAGTGACCTCAGTTAATGAATGCATGTCTAATGGAAATACCAATCCGATATCTTCCAGCGTAACATTAGAAGTCTATTACCAAATACCTAGTTCTAATGTAAAGGCTCTTAAAAACACTGTCAATATTAAAGTCTATACCATGTAAGAAGAAAATATATACTAAACCTTCTGGTTCCAAACCTAGCACCTAAAATATTACGATGGACTTACTAAACAAAAATATACTTCCCGACACCATATTTTGTCCTGCTAATCGTAGGGGAGGTCAAACTTGCACACTTGGTTCAGGCGTCGCACAAGACGGCCACTAAAACCGCCGTGTAAGCAGGTCTAATATTCGCTAGACGGCAGAGAACCAACGTATCCCACCGTTACCTTCAAAAGTTTTAAATAGTAAGCCTGTAAAATTTAACATTTCTCATCACTTTCTAAGTAGACAAAATGGAATACTATGTTACGCACCATCAACCCGACCTCAACAAGCAGTTACCTTTCTTAACTACCCACCAAGTCAAGTTCAGCAAATAAATCCACCTTATCGAAATAATGATTGTTTTGGCCTTCAGAAACCCCAGGTCCCACTAGCACTACAGTCTGTTCAAGCCACAGCCCATATGGTCAGTCGAACATATCAAACCACAGTCCAGGCAAATCTAATATGCATTACATAAGTATGGAAGCTTTTGATTTTTTACACTCCATACTCTCTTTTTAAGTGTATTACTTATCAATGTACGTTCACTTCTGAATAAAATTTCAGACTTAAAAACCCTAGCTTTACTAGCCAAGCCTTTTTTTCATACTTATCACTGAAACATGGTACTTTCAAGCAGTATCTGAATCGGAATTTAATATTCAGAACTATGGACTCTATCGCTGTAACAGAAAAACTAAGCGAGGACGTGGTTGTCTTATATACGTTTCGGGTACCCTAACAAGTAATAAAATGGAAGACAGTATCCTGAATAGTTTACCGGAATCGGTCGGGATATCAATCAACACTTTGAATCATAGTCTACTCCTGGGATGTATATGCAGAGCTCCCGACAGATCGATATTGTGAATGGTCTTATTATCAATGCATTTATACATGCACTCACTTAAACTTGAATGCTAAGGATATCACTGAACATTTCAATTGTCAGGGGATAAACTGAAATACCGGTAGTTGTCATTTATGTAATGATAAATTCTCGACAACCATTAACATGCACTGCTGGTCATAGTGGGTTCGTACCACAACAAAGAGTGATCTAATATTTAGTAGAGATGTCATCCCACTGTCTGTAAAACTATACAATTAGTTTCAAAGCAGTGACCATAAGATAGTATTTTGTGCTCTCCCTAACTGTCCCCTCCTTGTAACTGACCCATGCAAACGACCGCCAATATAGAGAATATAAACATGCTGACTGGGACCTCCTGCGTACAATGGTTAAATTCTCAAACTTGGTTAACTCTTCCTCAGCATTGAACGCTGTCCGTGTTATAAGTGGTGTAATACAAAGTAGCCTCTTAGACCCTTTGCTCTTTTTATTAAACATCAATCATAGTTGTGAATGTTTCTGTGTGGGTAAGCCCCTTGTCTATAATGATGATCTTAAAGTAGTGTGTTTATTTTCTTCAAATGAACTGAAAAATATGTAAAATTGCATCAGCATAGAGCTCAGTAAAATAGCTCAGTGGTACTCAAAATGGTAACTGGAGATTAATACTGCTAAATGGGGATGGATATGCTTTAGTAATACATCACTCGACATCGATTTTTCCATAAATGGTGGTGTTATCTAGGTAACATACAGTAATAAGGACTTAAGACTTAGATACTCATACGATTTTTTGTTAACAGAACAGGTACTCAAAGAGACTTCCAAATCTCAACGTGTTACAGGTTGCATAACTCGAAACTTTTATAAAAATGAGTCACGTTTTTTGGTGTACGAAGTTTGTGTTCGACCACTCCTAGAATACTGCACGTTTATTTTCCGTAGTGTGTGCATAAATGATAAATTAAGGTTGGAATCAGTACAGCGACAATTTACAATTTGGATTCTTGGAACT